TTAGGATGGTATGGAGACCTAACATGCAAGTCCTCATTAGTCCTTCGTTAGCACTACTACGTAACTCCCTCCCTCCTCCATTCCTTGCCGATCCTTCACAAACCCCTCCCTCCCCTCCCTCCCTCTTTAGGATGGTATGGAGACCTCTGGTGGGAGAAGGAACTCCCGCACAACTGTTCAGTGGAGGACATGGAGAGGGTACTCAGCCACTCCCTCTCGGCAGTGCAGTACCCCCTCTTCAGTGAGACCGAGACCTCGTCCCTCGGAATTGTGAGTTGGCTTTGGAACTCTTGGCAACTGTGACTCCTTCTACTACGTATTAATGTGACTCTGTATATACACGAAGATACCATTTGTTGCTTGATAGGCAAAGGTGCAGCGAGAAGTTCGATTTATTTTTATTCAATGTGTTATTTTTGTGTTAGGCTATAAATTATTTCTCACTGTCTTGAACTGTATGTACAATTTTACTCCCCACTATTACATCACGCAGAGCACGTATCAGTTCCGGCAGCTCTATGGGCTAAGTCTCTACAGACTAGCAGTGACAGGGGAAACTCTATACTGTTGATCTGACAGCTCCTCTGGCCTTTGAGGCTGTCTGGACACTGGCAAAGGCCCTCAGGATGACCAGTGGTACGTGTCTCGACACTCCAAAACTAGAATGTATGATGGGCGTGGGTTTGTAGTCTCTCGTATGAAAAGTTCTTGTGGATGTGGAAACTATTTGCCTCCTCTATGGCTAAAGAAGGTGTTTGATTTAAATAATGCACCCATTTCCCAGCAAGTGATGCTGATAGAAGTGGTTTAACCTCTTAACCTCTAAGCGTATGTACTTATCTCTATCATTACACGAGCCATTTTTCAAGACTTACCAGAATGTTTGAACTAGCCTTACACCCCGTCATTTCTGCAAAGAAGAACGGGCGTGAACATTTAACACATCAACCATGTTTCCACCTGCATTATAGAGTGTCATGCTTTCCTTTAATCTCTCTCTCTCTCTCTCTCTCTCTCTCTCTCTCTCTACTCTTCTCTGCCCATCTCTCTACTATTCTCTGGCCACCAGATAAGATAGAGGCGGGGGAGGAGGGAGGATGTGGCGATGTGGAAGGTGAGCTGGTGCCTCTGGAGAGGTTCGACTACAGCAATGACAAACTGGGCTGTCTTCTCCTGGAGAGCCTAGACCAGCTTTACTTCCTGGGAATCTCGGTTAGTATAAACTACTCTTAGACGTTGGGCTGACCTTTCTCCCACTACATACTATATAGGACATTACACAGTCTTTCTGTCATTGAATTATAGTGTATGTATGCTTTTTTAAGTGAATGTGGTGGCATAATTATAAGGGCTTAATTTTTAGAAATGTTACCAAGAACGGAACTCGGTTGCATTCTTTGACTGTGCCCCTATTGTTTTGTTCCATCTATAATCTGTAGTAAATTTAGCCCTTATAGACTGCCACATTCCCTATACAGACGTTTTTGCTCTTGGGAATTGGGAATGTCACAATTAGGTTTTTTTGGACACGTACTTTTTGCATAAACATATTGCCTCTGTATAGGCCCTGATTAAATGCCTCCATAGGCCTACTAATTGAACTCTTAGACAAATTTGCATACTATAGTACATCTGGTCTGTCCAAAAGAGCAGCAAGACTGGTGCTTCGTACATGAGAGAGAGAAAGCAGAAATTGCCAGATGTAGCTACTCGTTACATGAGCCTAAGCAGCATACTAGAGAGCTCTATGTAAAATGAACCTGTTATATAAGGTGACATAAGGCAGAGCTCTTTCAGCCGAGATAGTTTCCAGGAGCATTCGTTAAGTTTTTTTTTCAAATTCTCTGATCCCCTAACAGTAAAGGAAATTTTTTTGTTTACAGTAAAATGAGTGCGTGTAGATTATATTAAGTATACCCGAGATTTTGCTCGCAGGGGAATGTGACATTTGACGAGCAGGGAGACCGTGTCAGTAACACCGTGAGAATCTCCCAGTATCAACCAGGTATTATACAGTTCACCTCTACACCACTTCATCTGTATGTTTTACACTAATTTCTCATACCTATGTGCAATGCTGACAAGACATTGTATAAAAACGTTTTTGGGTCGTGTGGTAGTGTGTCAATTGTGAGTCTAGGAAAATGATGTGCATATTATTCCGTCCAGTGTACCAGAACATTGGACGCACAAAATACTAAGCCAAGAATTGCCACCTCCTGCTCTTTGTCATAGAATACTAAGCCTTATTCTGCTCTTTGTCATACACAAGAAACGTTAGTCAGTTGCCGTTAATTGACTGGTGTACATGTAGGAAGAGGCAGACCGCGACTCGATGGAACTCTGACAATGGCCAATGCCCTGGTCGGCTATGCATCTTTTGAAGGGGACGGTGACAACATCACTGGACTCTCAGTCAGCCTCGTCGACGACAACGCAACAGTCACTTTTCCAGGTGAGCCGCATTCGTCTGCCGTGTCCTGGCAGAGTTGCTAAGACATATTCATGGGAGTGTTTTTAGAGTTGTTTTGGTTACGTGTGTTAACTACGCAAAAGTGGCCAAAACCATATCTCTTGTCTAGTTCCTTCCTCCACCTTCTCCTTTACTTGTTCCCTACTGCCTTCCTTCTCTCTTTCTCCCTCTTTTTCTGCTCTGTTGCCCTCTTCCTTCCTCCCTCTTCCTCCTTTCCTCCGCCATTTCTCCCTTCCTCCCTCCTCCTCGATCCCTCTCTCCACCTTCTCTCTCTCTCTCTCAGATTCATTAAAGACTAGGCCGTGACTTGTGCTTGAAAATAGCCTTATTGTCTATTGCCAATTTTGTACCGACAATCATACTGATTTCAGGATTATACAGTGGATATTGGTCAGAGTCACATGATTTTCACATGCGTTACTACGACGAAATTCACTGGGCGCACACAAAGAACATGATTATTACGCCGTTCAGTTTGGGTGCTGCGCAAAATAGACAAATATTCTTTGTCTTAATGAACCTGAGCTCTATCCTATTTTCCTCTTCCTCTCTTCTCTTCCCTCTCCCTACCTCCCTTCCCTTCCATCCTCTCTCCCTCTCTCTCCCCTCTCCCTACCTCCCTTCCCTTCCATCCTCTCTCCCTCTCTCTCCCCTCTCCCTACCTCCCTTCCCTTCCATCCTCTCTCCATCTCTCTCCCGTCTCCCTACCTCCCTTCCCTTCCATCCTCTCTCCCTCTCTCTCCCGTCTCCCTACCTCCCTTCCCTTCCATCCTCTCTCCCTCTCTCTCCCCCTGCTCCTTCCAGAGGGGATACCACCAGATGGTATTCCAAAGGAGGTGATAGTCTTCACGGCTCTTCCACTGACAGTCGTCTACTACATCCTGGCCACCTGTGGGATCGTCTTTGCCGCAGTCTGCCTCATCTTCAACATCATCTACAGGAAGAGGAAGTGAGTCCATTTCCATCTCTACAATAATAGTATTCATAGGTGAATTTGAATTACGCATGGTATAGCCGGAAGCTATTTTTACTAATGGAGAAGGCTAAGAAATAGCTATGAAGCTTATAAGCCAGTTATGTACGTATGTTGAATACACACACTTGGCAGCATAAATTTGTCAGCAATTGTGTGGAGAAATCTTGTTTGTCCCTACCCGCGGTTCTTTCATTAGGTTGTCCTCACGCAACTGAAATTAAGTGTGCCAACCGTTAAAATTGCACTCTAAGATCCAAAAAGTGATGTGAACACTTTGTATTTCACCCTCCATCGCAGGATTGTGAGACTGACTAGCCCGAACCTCAATTATCTCATAATTGTGGGGGCGGTCCTCCTGTACATGTCGGTCTTCTTCTGGGTGTCCCCCGCCAAGGAGGAGATGGAGGCTACCGTTCTGTGCAATGTAAGGGTCGAACACTTTCACTCATGAAAAAAACATGCATACTAGCTAAAAAAATAATCAGAGGAAAAGAAAGAACCTCCCCCACCCATGTAAAGTAACAGCTAACGCTTGACTAAAGCAAGCAGAAAGAACAAAGGAGATAGAAGAAGAGTGATACTTATATAAGAGCTCCTGTGGCTCCACTTGTTATCTACAGAGCGATACAAACTGAGGGATAGCAAATCAAGATATATACGTACGCGTGAGCTAGCATCAATGGTAGTGTATTATTATTATCATGGAGATGTGGCATATTAAAACTAGTTCTATACGTACTATGCATAGCTGCGTGCGTAGGCCTCGTTCAGTACGTGATCAATAGACATTTGGGACGGAATCAATGTTGGAAGGTCTAGTCATGTGGCTTCTCTATCCCTTGTATACATTGCTGAAGAAATACAACAAGGGGTATTGTGATTGCAGTTTTCAGTTCTTTCTCTTACTAGTCACCCACACTGAAAAGAATCATTGTGGTTCATTGCACCGTATTGTCCACTGTATTACCTACCGTGTAGTTCCGTATATGGCTGTTCTCCATTGGGAACACTCTGTGTCTGGCCGTGGTGCTGTCTAAGATGTGGAGAGTCCACTACATCTTCACCTCTCCTTCTCCCAAGAGGAAGGTATATTTACACACACACACACACACACACCAATGAAACACCTCTAATATTGTATTTATACGTGTTTACTGATAGTGCAATCAGTTAATATGTCGCCATTAATGACTCAAGTGTATTTGATCAACCAGTTTTTCTCTATCCCCTGGCTAAATAGATTGAGCCACTGCACAGGGGCTGTTTCTCTATCCCCTGGCTAAATAGATTGAGCCACTGCACAGGGGCTGTTTCTCTATCCCCTGGCTAAATAGAACGGTGGTTATGATTTTGAAGAACATCGGCCCACTGCAAAACTCGCACCCTGACGCTATTGTTTGAATAACTAGGTGCAACTTTGCATGAACCTAGCTCTTTCTCCCTCCCTCCCTCCCTCCCTCACTCCCCCTCCCCCCACAGCCGAAGCCCCCGCAGGACTGGCATCTGTTGATCATCACCTTGGTGATAGTCAGTGTAGACCTGGTCATCCTCCTCATACCCACTGCAATAGAGAAGTCCCGCTCCAGAGGTCAGCTGGCAGAGAGCCAGGAGCACAGAGAGACTGAGGACGTGAGTCATCATGAACAAGTTGTAATAATATTATGTAAAAATATAATGTAAGCTCTGAGTGCTGGCACGGATGGCTTTTCTTCAATGGGTTACCTCAGATTAATTAATCAGCGCATGTGCTTACGATCTCACATCTGGTAGACTGAACGAAAAAAGGTGAAAAGTAAGTCGGAAAGAGAGGAAGAAAACAGAAAGAAAATCAGCTCTACCGGTGGTATTTGACACTTGCTTAAGATCAAGGGTTGTATATACATAAAGTGTGACAAGCATGCATGTACTTTGGCTTCATCCGTTTTGGTTCTCCCTCACATGTGCACAATCTTTTGATAAGTGAGGTTCTAGAGGTCAATATGCTATTCCCCCTCCTTGACCGCCTCACAGGAGCTGGGAGTGGCCCAGATCCACCGCTACTACAGCTGCTACAGTGACTCCCAGCTCATCTGGCTCTTCATGTCCTACATATACAAGTTCCTGCTCCAGATCGCCGCCATCTACTTTGCCTTCATGTCTCGAAAGATCCGCTTCAAGGCCCTCAACGACTCCAAGGAGATAGCTGCCATCATCTACATCACCAGTCTCCTGCTGGTCATATCGGCCTTTGGTTTCTGGATCGGACTCCTCTACCTCAACACTTCAACAGTGGTGTTTGGATTGGCACAATTCCTCACTGCCTCAGTCATACTCGGTCTTCTCTTTATACCCAAGGTATTATACCGTGTATATTAATAAGAGGTGTGCTATAGGTGCTAGCTATCCATAAGAGAGTAAACAAACATGCGTCTTTTTGGATAAAGTATAGATCTCTTATACGCATATTATCGCGCAAACAATTAACACACAGAGGTCGTGAAGTAACTTTTCTGCACCTGGGGAAAATGTTTTGTGGGAAAAAAACGTCATTTTGCAAGACGTGAGATTGGGCAAACCTAACTAAAAATGGACATAATGTTTTTAATCCTTTTTCTTCCCTCTCATTTCTCCGTTCCCTCCCCCCTTCTTTTTAACAGATGATAAGTCTAAGGTTGGACCCGCAGGGGGTCAACATCTTCAGTGGCGGTCAGAGGAACACCACCACAGCCTCGATCAACCAGAGCTCCATCGACATCCTCGAGACAGGCCACAAGATGCAGGAGCTATCGTCGCGAGTCAAGGAACTCGAGTCAGAGCTGGAGAAACACCAGGTCAGCACTGCTTTTAACACAAAAACTTTTCAAAAGCAAACTAAAGGTTCACAGTCCGCTAACAGACACAAAAACTACATTCTGCAAATTGGACGTACTGTAGGTTACACTGCCCGTTAACACCGATTTTTTCGTAAATGATCATGAGTGTTATAGGTTTTGTAGAAGCTATTTTCGTAGGAAGCAAATGGTCCTTCCGGTGTACCTTGACCACAAACGTGGTGTCAAAATAATATTTTTGACACCGAAAAACACAAAGATTATCTTTCCTTCTTCTGTCCTCACAGAATGGCAGCAGCTCAACTGTGACTCCACTCTACACATGCAACATCACCACACCCACCCAGACCAGTCCAGATTCCAAACTGGATCCCGGAATGGACCCGGAACCTTGACACATACATATATACAGCAACAACAGCTGGTCATTCACCTGCTCATTACTTAACACAGTGAATGAGTGGGTCTTCCCCTTCATCATGCATGTCACTACAACTAGCACCGCAGTGTGGCGTTACTGAACAATCAAGCACATTAGTCATTTCCCAAACGTACTCATGTTCTCGCTTGTCATTGTAGATTTGTATCTTTCTTGTATAATACTTCCAAAGTTTTTCTTAGTGTTGTGGTTAACTTAGGGAATGAATTAGAAATAACTTTTTATATTATGATCCTGTGTGACTAGGAACTGGACTATCCATTAATTCCTACTCTTCACTAGTCGGAATAAAAAAACTTTATATACAAGCCAACGTTTCAGTACAGGTATATACCATCATCAAGGCAAGAAGAAGAAAAGATGAGGTGACAGAAAAAAAATAAAAAATAATCTTACTCCGACTAGTGAAAAGTTCTAACAAGGAATGAAAAGTGAATTAAAAAAACATGTGGTGAATGCTATGCTGTGATGGGTAGATGATATCTTGATCTTTCCCAAAGTGATAATAGTTACGCTTAAAAATGTCTGCTCTGTATACATGGTGATCCTCGTAAATAAACCAGTATGAGAACCAATCAGCCAGTTAATATTAGTAGGGGCAGCCCCTGTAAACCGGCGATAGGTTGATGTTGTAAGAGAGAGCTTTAAAGGTGAAGGTAGCCTGCATAGTCTACAAGCGATCCGGAGCCGTTGCCCGAGGAGGAAGGGCTGCTTGCGCTGCACTGGTGGAAAGAACCCCGCGCTGCACTAGTTCTCCGGAGATAGCTGAAGAGGAGTCGGGCTCTTTGTTGTTCGGACGCCGTGGGGGTAGGCGGTAGGTCTGTTTCAAACGTAGCCTCCTCCTCAACGGCAGTGCCTTGTGGTGTGTCTTCTTTACTAAGTGATTGATGGTTTCCTACTCTGTCCTCGTCATCCTGAAGTGATGCAATTGGATTTTCTTCTGTTTTCTCCACTGCCTGTTTGCACTCAATGGTGGATAGTTTTTCTTGGCAAGTCAGGGAAGCGCTAGAGTTGGGGCTGTTGGACGTGTTGCTAGCTTCAGCGGTGGAATCTCTAGTCTGTTCGAATGCTGAAGTAGAACCCTTATCTTCTCTTCCATCAGCCAGAGACGGTTCGGGGAGAGTTTGTTTCATTTCTGTGGTGTCATGTGTGGAAGATGTGGCGAGAGGAGACTCGTCCGCTGTTTCTGTCTCACTAGTAAGAAGATTTGCTGCTTCTACCAGCTCACATCTAGTACTAGAGTCAGAGTTTGTTGGAATGACACTTGACGAAGTAGTAGGGATGTCTAGATCTGATTCCATCTTTAGTCCGTCTGGTTGACGTTTTGCATGTTCCTCAACAGAACCTGCATAGACAGAGAAACCGTTACTGTAATGTTCAACTCTAGCTCAATGCCTGCGTAAAAGGTGAACAAAAAGCAGCCAATTCATTACTGTTGGTGCTTGTACACACAGTAGTATGGTCTGATGACCCAATGCCACATGTGAAATAGTTCAATGTAGATACGTAGTAGACAGTGTATAAATGTACCGGATTCATGCTGCTGGTTGTCAGAGTCACCGGACCCGGTGCTGTAACCTGATGTGTTGCCACTCGAAGTGGCACCACCAGACGAGGTCACCTCCCCGACACCCACTGTCTCGCCACTCTTCTCCTCCTCCTCCCACCTCACCTTCACGGACGGGCGACAGCTCACGGAGGAAGGAGTTGTGATGTGTTTGTCTATCTGTGGTTGCTTCGGTGGGGGGCTGGGCTGGCTGACCAGTCAGAGGTAATGGGGCGGGAGTTAGGGAGTGACGGGACGTTGGTTCAGGGGTGTACAGGTTGTTTATGAGGCTCTCGTGAGAGGTGAAGACAGGAACCAGTGGCTTGCAGAGGTCCACCGGAAGATAGTCACTTTTGAGGCCCTGTGTGCATGAGAAGAAAACGAGTTTTGAACTATGACCACCAACGCGATATTCTTTCGGTTCAGTAGCAAAGAGCACTTGGGAGGAAATTCAGCAGCAAAAGGACGTAACAGATATAAACTCTTATTGCTCTTAAAACCATACTTGCACTTCAGTATATACTTCACAGCGGATGAGATTATGTTACATACCTCTGTTCTCCAGTTGTTTGCTCCAACTTTGATTCTGTTGCATCAAAAGGGGGATAAGGGTATAGTATAAGATCAAATTCTTGACCTATTCACCCACATTATATTGTATATACACAGGCTCAAATAATATCCAGCTAAGGTATATACAGCAGGTGGGGCTATTGGAGCAGGTGGGAATTTAGAGCTCGTTGTTGTAATTTTATAGGGGGCTACTTAATGATTCGGTTACTCCCATGGCGATTAACATAGGAATGATGGTATCCCATTACAAAACAGTATAATTATACCTTGGGTTCTATTCCAAAGCACTGGCAAATAACACCTCGCTAGGTTTACTTGCGTACACAAGTATATAACAAAAATCGTACAGCACAACAGTATGATGAGACATAAGCAATAAATTTGAACTGATCATACACATTCCTTCCCTTTATCACACTTGTAAACACTCACAAGTATTATTACACTAGAACGTACATTTTCCGGTGTGTGCGTGAGTGATACCAGCCGACCACGAGCAGCAGAATGCAGAGGAGAGCGAGTGATACTGCCACACATGCTACTATGGCAGCTAGAAGAGGTGACTGAGCTCCTTTTGCGGAAGTAGAGAGAGACGACGCAAGGACTTGAAGTGTGGAAGAAGGGAGTATGGAAGGGGAAGAAGACACAGTGGCTGTTGTTGTGAGGATGGGACGAGATGGCGGGGGGTGACTGGTGGATGGGGAGAGAGAGGAGGAGGGAAGAGTTGGAGTAGACATTACAGGAGAGGGCGGCTGTGCTAAATGTGTGTGTGTGTGTTGTGCAATTGGGAGGGGAGAGGAGGAAGGAAACAATGTATATCAGCTATGCACTAAAGTGATCACAAAATCCTAATGTTTTTGCTGAAGTACATGCCGTATGCACACCTTGATTACCTACACAAACTTTACAGTCATACATACGATGGTGTGTGTATAAGGAGTTGGAGACTTACAGACAGTGCAGGATGCGTTCTGCAGTGCCTTTTGTGACTGATCAACAAAGTCAGTGTAGCAGCCGGTAACATGGCAAATGGTCCCCAGAGGATAGCTGTGGTGAATGGTGTCTGCATATTCTGGATCACTGATCAAAGTCTGGTCGAGAAACTCATCGTTTTGCTGTTGTAGTAAGTATATTATAAGAGGCATCAGTACATAAGGGCTAAGTATAGTAAAGATAATAGTATAGGTCTCAGTGCAAGAATTCAATCAGGTTACTGGTTAAGTAAAACTTTCCCTTATACACTGCCACATTCCCTTAAAACATTACATGTGTATAATTATCATAGAGCTTTGTACACCAAAATTTTATTCCGAACTCTACTAATATTTATGACATTACTATAATGTGCAAAAAAATCTACCTCTGTTCCGTTTGGGAGTACGCACGACACGTCAGAGAAGACCAAGAAGTCCAAGAATTCGATGTCAGGGTCAGTGACAGTGATTGTGGGAGTGAGCTCAGTGACGGAGCAGAATATACTCAGTGAGAGAACACTCCCATCGTGGACCGGCAAATCTGCGACAAAGAGCAAAAAGATGAAGTATGTCAACCTACTGTATAATTATATGAAAGCCATTGTGAATTACAGTTCAGCAACCCACTGGAGATAGGTTATTATTAAACACCAATATGCCCACCATGAGATGATAACATACCACTTACAGAGTGCAGTTCATATTATTGGCTGGTGTACAGGAGCAAAAGAAGGTGTTTCTTTCTTCGATTTGTGTTTAAGTCAGCAGATGTATGGGGGATCCAAATTCAGCTGAGTGGGGCTATGATTATCAGAGTATCCTTTACAGTGGCTACCCATTAGTTTGAGAAGGGATAGTACCACAAAAAACTACTGCTTATACAGAGCTAATGTGTTGATAAGGCTCTCAGGAAGGTCTGTGCATTGTGCAGCCATCAGATTAGATACTCAAGAAATGTATATACAGTTTGCATGTCAAAGCACAGTGTTCATAAAAAAAATAATAACAAAATACAGCTACAAATGCGAAGTCTCTCCCCGATTTCATACTTTATATACACTCAATTTTTATGCTTGTTAAAGGAGATACCCGTGGTGTCCAAAGAGTTTAATAACCTTAAACTGAAAGGTGGGATTGTTTGCGTTGCGGCTTTCGATGTTATCCCTATACTACCAAAGTGTTGACACATTCATTTTGGGGTTGAGCGTGAAAGTGACTATTGTAGCAACAGGTGTGTTGGTGAGGATCAAGTGGTAACGGTGTTGTACACGTGAGAAACTGAGACATTGAGCACGCCAAAAGAGGGTATATCCAGTGACTCCAAGCGTGACAGTTCTATAGAGTAGCAAGGAACACAGGATGGAGGGCCACAAACAGTAGCACACTAAATGCATGTTTATTCTGAGTTTGGTATGTCTCGTAGAGATCGCATAACCCCGACCAGCACGGGCACATTACCTACACCAATGCTACAATTACCTACAAACAGCTGCATGTAGATTTCTGTGAATTTATGTCATAATACCTTGCATTATAATGTGAGAGGATCTCCCAACGAAAGAAACTGTGATTGCTAACTATAAGAATTATTCACACATTTGCATTCACTGGAGGAAGAATACTGTGGCCTATGCTGTTGACCATGCACCCAAAATCCCGAGCTCTGTTTTGTGACACCCTGTTATCTTTCCATTTGGTATTCAGAGGTCATTATGACCTCAACTAACTGTAGCTCGCTACACAAAACAAGTTCACAATCCCACAAAGAGCTGAATTGATACGCACCGAAAGGTGCTAGGAGGAAAAGAAAGTGGTCGAGTAAACAAAACTGGGCCCAAAACACGTATATAGCCATCCAATGGTGTGGCCCAAAAACGTCAACAGTGTTCCCGGCCCATTGGTCATCACACAGGGGAAACCTCCATTAATTAATTGACATGCTTTCCGTGACAAATATCTCGCAAAGTTCTCTCGTACAACACCATTAGTTGCTGACACATAAAACGTGGAAAGGTGTTCATTGCCTGGCCAGTGATGCACACAGAAGTAAATCTAAGCACATGGGCTATATTATAGTAGAGTCTGCTTCCTTTTCGTGTGTGAATGATTCATTGCCCAAATTAGTGAACCAGGAGTTGTAATGAACGACAATTTCCTTTAACAATCGGCAATGTACCTAAGGATGTGCATCATGTCAGTGAGACACAGAAATGACTATCTATCTCACATTATTCAAGTTTGGTGGTAATTCATGCATGTAGTGTGTGTGATACTGTCCAAGATAGAGCATTAACTGGTTAGTTGCTCACGTTCTAATGAACATTGCAGGAAATGGCAGGTGGACACAAAGTTATGTAACTGAAGACGTTAGCATTATTATCATAAAATGTGGACATGGAAACACAGTCTCCCCCCTCCCACAAACAAACACAACACACACACACTGCAAGCAAATGTGATCATGATAGGCAAACAGTTCGTTGTGCACAACATGCATAATCCACAGAGAGCACATGCAGTTCCAAGAACCCATGCCTCAATGATCACTGTGCATGTGCATCCTCCAACCCACCCAGTTATCATAGCCATCAACCTCCACTGCAGTGTTTCGTACATTGCACCTGATCACCTGGAAATACTCCGTGCCGCCAATTGATACGGGCCATTTGACATGCTCGCTTGCTGCAAATCCCCTTACGTCTCAGGAGATCTCCTACTGACACTGTACTACTTACAACTAAGGCTGAGTGTGATAAGGATTGCTACAAACTAAAACACACAATAGCTACTTAATTACTCAGTAGAGAGATACCCTTGCTTACTCTGAAGTGGCTAAAAATGCAATTACAATTGAGTTGATAGTCAACTGACAAAATGCAGCAGAAATGTGGCAGTATAATTAGGGGCTAAACAGTTGGTAACATTCTTGCACTGGGCCCTATTGCATTTATTTATCCCTTATAATGCTGCCACATTCCCTTTAATTCAACTCTCTATTAAAAAGATGTTTAAAAACACAGATACATGCATCCACTAGATCTCAAGAGCGGTAAGCTTGTAAAACTAATTATGCTTGCTAGCCTAATTGAGGTTAATTAATTAACCACCGCATGAAGTGAACGCACGCTGTACTCACCGTCCGTACACTCCAGAGCTGCAGCAGCGGAGGTACCAAGAATCAGTACCAGGAGAAAAACCAACGGAACCCCCGTCCCTGCAGCCGCGGGGCCTGCAACAGTGTTGTTCGCAGGTGAAACCCTCGGGTGAAGCGCTGTCTTCCTTCTCTTTGCCTCCATTGCCCGTCTGTCGGTTTCGTGCGTGCAAGCTAGGAGAGCACCACGGGTAACTTTCCCTCACGCCGTCAGAGGAGTCTTATAATAACCGTCGTTCTGTCACGCTAATACAAATCGCGCATGCGTAAAACAGTACGCGTTCTGCGCATGCGTATGACTCATCCGTGTCAAAGTTTTGCACATAAAAAATAATGATGCTGTTGGATACGATAGAAACAATAAATAAATAGAACATAGAACAATTTATTTTAAACTCTGATGTTTTCATCAGTATTGGTGGTCAGTATATACAGATGGAGGTAGAGCAGTAGTCAACAATAGTTGTGAATCGGCAATGTAACCACTGTTTGAACCGTGCAGGAGACCCTCAGACATTAGAGGATTTGTAGTGCTGATATGTGTATCTTTGGGTGAGGGGTTGAAGGTAGTTGATGGTATGTTAGGAGGGGATTCTTTTATAGTGCGCACCTGGTCCCAACAGTCACTACTGAGAGAGTCACAATCGTAACCAACGCTCTCTGTCAGGGTTGAAGAAGCAGCAGTAGTTTTATGGGGGAGGCTCAGTTTCTCATGTGTGGGATAGGAGACATAGCCACCATTCGTTCCAGCTTCATTTCGATTTTCACATGCAGCTGATGAAGATGGGTGGAGAGTGTCAGACAAGCCATCGTCAGGGCAGAGGGCAGAGTCTTCCTCACAAAACACAGAGTCCACATACGAGTCGGGAAGTAAGAGGCGCTGCTGGACTTTGTGCCCGTGGAAAGGATTGCTCCCACAGACACTAGACTCTGACGAGTAATACCCGCTGGACGTGGTGCTGACGCTGCTGGGAACGTAGCCCTCGCTGCCACTGATACTGTATGCTGTACTAGAGTCGGGGACATAGCTGTATGTGGAGAAGAACCGCGACCTGAGGCTGAAACTGCTCGAGTTGCCCTCCTCTGATCCGTACCCGCTGGAAGTGGTGCTGAAATTACTGGGAATGTACCCGTCGTTTGCCGCAGTTGATGTGGATATGCTGCCCAGTGGAGGATGAGGGAGAGGGACACTATCACCAGTCACTGGCGATGCACAGGGTTTCTGCTCTGAGAGGCTATCGTGTGTTGGGCCACTGTGCAATGGACAAGTGTCAGAAGCTGCGTGTTCTTCGGTGATTGAACACTGTTCTTTCTCTGACAGTGATTCGACTTCTTTCTCAGGCTCATGATCGACCACGCTGGGGCTGCTGTGCAGTAACTCCACCTCTGCTTTTGTTGGGGGCAAATCCCAAAAGGCGCCAGAGTCCTCAACATAGGCTCCACTACCACCATCAACTCCCTCGCTTGATGATGTAATGTATCCAGGATTTGCTGCCTCCAACCGACCTTTCGTGATCTCTGCACACTCGGTACCAGCCTTAGTTTCAGAGTTAAAGTTGCATGATGATTCTGACTCTTGCACGTAGCCACTGAAAGTAGAGCTCTCTTGTCCAGTGATCACCACAATGGTCGGATTTGTAACCTCCACGTTTAGGTATCCCTTTTTCACCTCCCCCTTCACGGTGGTAGGATTATTACCAGTGTGTTTGTCAGTGTTTTTATTTGGGTCGTTCTCTTTTGCGTTCTTTTCAACTGAAGCCGAGTCTTCATTACCTTCGATTATAGGGCTTAGTTGTCGTTTCGAGGATTCCAAGTCGGTAAGAGAAGCAACTTGTCCGGTGAGAGGGTGGCCGATTGCATCTGGGGAGCTTTCAATGCTGCTGATCTCGTCAGGCTCCAGAAGTGTAGGGGTGAGGGGGCAATCGTACGTCTCGAGAGTGCTGACGACTGAGAAAGTGTAGGAGAATTTTCTCGAGGGAGTGAAGGGAACTGGGTTGTGGGATGGATCAATCTCCTGCAGGGAGAGGGAGAGGGAGACAGAGAGACACATGATGGACAAGTGATGCCAGTGGAAAAGTAGTAAACAGCTATTTGACCCGATTAGCCTTCATTAGCAGAGCATACTGCACCCCTCCAGGCATTGGAGTCTATAACGGAGTGTAAATCTTGTGTTTGTTTAGCTACTAATGAGTTCATCCTACAGGGCTTTGCCACTGGTACGATTAGTTGTGGAGGCTCCTTCTTACTTATGCAGGTTGCAGTTTTGAATAAGCATAAACACTATCCAAAACGCTGTCACGGTTGATAAATATGATTATGTCTGTTAGCTAACTACTTATTAACACCATGTAACACCATGGGAGAGGACTATAATGCTAGTATGTGTGAGTTAGTTAGTTAGTGAGTTAGCAAAAAATTGCTAGTAAGAAGCCAAACACCACGTGGTACGTGGTATGTGTTCTAGCCCCCCATCTACCAAGGAATGCAAATGGCTGGGGGCTCTGGTAATTGACTTTAGCCACACTTAGTTTGTATCACTCGGTGGGCGCAGGCCATGACTACATTATTATCTGGCTCAGTGTTGTTCTACACGAGTGGTCTACGGCTACAGACCATTACTGTCTACACACACAGACTCCTCCTCCACTCCCTCCCACCTCTTATTTCATGTACACTGAGTGTGGCAGAGTATGAAAACTGTGCCAAAAATGGAGCCTTAACACAATTATCTAAGGTCAACCAAAGGGGCTTGTAAAAATAATTTGAACAACAGGTTCAAAGGAGATAGATGTATAGGTACACAGCTCAAAAGAATGCCATGCTCAACAAAGGGGTAGGTATAGGGTACGGGGCACTGCACGCTTGAGTATATAGGGCTCAACCACCCACGTGGAGGAATGAGAAACACATAGTATCGAGTATCGTGCCTCACCTCCTTCTTGATTTGATACTTGAACAGCACGCTGTACTTCTTCATGATGTCTCGTCTGTGTGGAGATAATAACAGCAGTGTGTCAGCATACAGTCAATAGCGTATTGGGCATGAAAGAAAAGCAAGTCCGGAACTCAACAACAGCCCGGAAAACTATCGGGAAGGACTCAAACCCATTACTCTCTTTGGTCTAGGAAGAATACTCTACCTACCTAGCTACATACCTGGGCAGCTAACCAGGTATATAGGGCTCAAAGTCTACAAAAGTAAACAGGTGAGCCGGATCTCCCATAAATTCTTGAAGGAATGAATCTCATTAGCTTTAACCACAGCAATGAACTGCATTCTCTGCCGATGAGAATGATAAACCTTAAAAGGAATGTGGCAGTATAAAAGGGCTAAATTTACTATATTATTATAACAAAACAGTTAGGGGCACAGTGAAAGAATGGCAGATTACCAGACACAATTGGTTCAGGCGGATACTATATTATGCAGGGTATATAGGCTCATATTATATATTATGCTCTGTCTCACATATCAACGTGTATGGCCTAGTTTCCTAACTCTGACATAATCCAGAATAGCTGGCAACCACTGTAATTATGCAGGGCAGGTTAGGTTTTAATCTTTCAGCTTTGCGTCAAACAAAATCGGTTCAACGTGACTAACAGTTGAAACTTACTTGTTTTTGAGGTACTTGTGTCGGGCGACAAAGAAGCAGCCAATGAGGAAGATGGTAGTGGTTGCTAGAACCAGGGTGATGACCCAGATGATGTGGACGAGAGCTGAGGAGAGGAGGAGCGAGGAGGCAGGAGGGAATGAACAGATAGCGAGGGAAGGGAGCAAAAAATAAAGAAGAGAGGAGGGGCGGATAAGAAAGAGAAAAAGAGGGAGAATAAATTGAATTATCTCAGAATTTGAGGCCAAACATACGAACCCCAGAAACCATTGATTGCAGACTTCTTGGACAGTTGTTCAAACAAACCCTATGGATACCATGTCCATCTCCTAATATATACAAGGCTGGGTATTATATCCCATTGATGCAGACGCCCTCTTACTACTTGTAGTTATGCTAATATCATGACCATACACACAAGCCTTACTAGCAGCTTCTAACCTTGTAAGTTGTAAATAGCAAATGCACACAATAGCCAAAACTTGATGGACTTACCAGCAGATGAGCAAGAGTTCCCATCTTGTCTGTAGCCAGAGTCACATACACAACTGTAGCCCTCTTCAGAGTCGGGAGAATTGACACAGCTGGAATGGCCGCCACAGCTCACAGCTAGCTCTGTACACACATCCATTGCTGCGATGCATTTGAGAGAGTGGGAGACAGGTTGATAGAAGTAGGGCCATACATTTGACGTTAATGATTTTATGTTTTAGCAGCATAGCTGAGTGCGGGTTAAACTAATGGTAGTTATGATGTCCATGTATTATTCCAGGTGTTGTTGACTTTGCACTTGCCCTACACTAATTAGCTACATAAAAAAATCAGGCTCAACATAATTGAGAATGTAATCACATCAAGATCACTCTAATCTTGGACAAGGCCACAATGCCACATAATTGATTAACAGAAATTAGCCACATGTTTTTGGATCACAAAATGAATGGCTCCCTCTTTCTCTTCCATCTTGGTGGGTAGCCACACATGGAATTCTTTCCACAGGTATGCTGTAACCTGATCAGGGTTGCTATTACAATCTTCTTGCTGTTACTACAACCAGTTAGCATAATTATCATGTTATATGTACAGGGAAGGAGGGAGGGAGGAAGGGAGGGAGGGAGGGAGGGAGGGAGGGACAGTACAGTTGTGATTGAGCTGTTCACACATTAACTTAGAAATTAAGGGAGAATGCATTGGTTGATTGGCTATACAAACTGACCAGGTACTAAGCGCCTTAGTGACACAAAAAACCAGGTGATAATTAATCCAATTCACAACCGCAATGAATTGTAATACCTACTTTAACCCCCGCCCCTTGTCTCTCTGTGGCGACAAATCATACAGCCTCCAATAGTGCAAGACACAGTGTGCGCGTGTTTCGAAAAGTGGTGGTAGATTACACACACACACGCAGAGGCACAGATGCACACACAGCGTTTACGTAAAGGTAAGCAGCTAGAGTCCTGAGAAGCAATTCCTTTTGTGCGGAGGGCAGCACACCTCTGCATTTTAGCCGTCTAGCTTATCAGTCTTCCCGGCGAGAATGCGAGGAAGGCTGTATAAACGCCTCATACGGGACGTAATAATCTGTAATATTTAAGACAGTGCAGTATCAGCACGGACCTGAACACGGGGTTAGCTAGGTGGCATATTAATGTGTATAGACTACGGCGGGGTTTAACTCCTATACTGCCACTCCACAGTGCCAGATTACGTATAATTATACAGGTAGGTTTCCGCAGTGTATGAGATCAAACAGGAAGCAATAATGATTGGCCCAGGGGAGCGCATTACATCTCAATGCCTTCACTCCACTCCTCTCAGCCAAGAGACTCTTCAAAAACACGTTCTTCTTCCGTGTTTTGAGGCTGAAACCCTCTAGTAATTGAATGTTTAGCATTTTTGGCGCAAGCTTGGTGCAGAGAGACGTGACGTATTTATTTGCCCATGGATCAAAGGTTAGTGGGATATAATTGGTAGATTAGAGTAATAAGCTTGAAAAATTTAATAGATATTGTAGAGATTCCTCCTGAGCCAGTGACTCAGAGTGCAAAACCCACACAGAGGATTGTTACAACCAGTTGGTTTTTCCAAAAGAAAAATTCTGTTGCTTATCAAAATGTTTGTGGGCACAGATTTGTCTCTTAGAGAAGAGTGCAAAAATCCTACACCATTATCTCTAGAATAGTCTGCAACTGTGTCATTTTACACTGAAGAAAGCTTGAACCTCTGCCTTCAAGTAATCATAGACTGTATGGCATTTCGCTGTGTAGTGGCATTTCGCTGTGTAGTGCCATTTCATCGGCATCTGCTCTTTCTAGAAAGAGTGCAAAAATCCTACACCATTATCTCTAGAATGAGTCTGCAACTGTGTCATTTTACACTGAAGAAAGCTTGAACCTCTGCCTTCAAGTCAAAAGGCATATATGTGTATAGCTGTGTATGTGAAATATCCAGGAAGTTGTCACAGGAATGGAAATGTGTGCATCTCATTGGTGTGGAATAATGACTACGTGTGAATGCATTAGTTAGTCAATGAGAAAGATCAGATTTCTCCCTCGAACAAAACGGCACCATGAAGCATCTCAGTTGGCCACAAAGTGCCACAAAGTGTGACTTGTAATCTATTAATGGTAATTGTGAATAGACAGACGTCTTGATTTACAGAACGACCTACTTATTATCCACAAGTACCTAAAGAGGCATGCAAAGGCTTTGATCACCTCACCGTGTTTTATCTTGTCAGGTAATAAATTAGTAAACTAAGCAGGAGGAAGGTGTGCCTGGTTGCGCAACATTACGTGCATCTGTTGGTGGGGAGTTCTGAGAATATCTATAAGCCACTCTATTATGTTTCCATGGTGTCAAAAACACAGAGGAGCGCCGTGATGCTAGAGGGCAGCATGGAAAGACAAATCGCTTCTACTGAAGCACATAAGTATTTGGAGGGAAGGGGGGCGGCGGTGAGTAGCAGTTAATGACAAACAGAGTGACTAACAAACAGAATGACACTCCCATGAAGTCACAAAGACAAATTATACAACTAGCAAAGTACCACAGAGACTTTCTTCTGAAATCTGAACCTTACAAATCTGAAGTGCATGACTATATACACATGTGGATGAGTCATAAAAGCACCTAGTAATTTCTTTTTAGACTAGGTGCCATGCAAAAGCAATGCCCAACAAGTACATAGACACGTGTCGCATGCAGATTGACATACTATATCAATTTACCGGACTTGAGAATACACAACTCACAGTAAGACTACCAAGAGGTTATTTCTGACACGTGCCCATTACTGTTGTACTCCATGACTAAATTTACGGGTATAATATAACTCCCACCTGTACAGTTGTCTTCTCCAACCTCCGTGTACCATCTCGGACAGGTACAGATGTAGCCTCCCAGTGTGTTGTTGCAGATATTCCGGCACAGGGCGCTCCTGTTAGGCGTGGCACACTCATCAGTGTCTGAGGAGTATAGGGTTTCATGTGCATGTGTGGGTAGGTTCAGTACAGTGATGGTGAAGAGAGAGAGAGAGAGAGAGAGAGAGAGAGAAAGAGAGAGAGAGAGAGAGGAAAAGAGGGAGTTAGGGGTGAAAAGGAGGAAGGTAAAGGGGTGGAGAGAGGGAGGGAAGGAAAGAAGAAGAAGAGAAAGACAGAGAGAAGAAGACAGACGAGAAATAATAGTAGGAGTAAGGGAAGGAAGGAGGTCCCCTGTCAAGTATCAAACTCATTAGTACAATAATCAGCAGGGTAGCAAGCAATTAGTACGATGTATCACTTGACCTACCCCCGTGTGGGTTGCACGCAAACTTTCAAGACTGTTATGCAAGTTTGTGCAAATTCATCCTCTAACCGTTGCACATGTTCTGTTGGTCGCTAAACTCGAACCCTTCCAGACAGAGACACAGGTAGCTGCCTGGGGTGTTGGTACACTCACGACCTGTTGTGTTTGTCTGGCACAGCATCGTCCCATTCATCGTCTCGCACTCATCAATATCTGCAGAGAGCAAATGTAGATTCTTTCTTCTCGTTATCTGTCCTGCACACTCTCACAAGATGTCAGGTTCTCGTTCTTCCTCACACAGTGTGTGTGTCAACTAACCAATGCAAGTGTGGCCGTCTTCACCCATAGTGAACCCATCTCTGCAGGAGCAGTTGAACCATCCACTGTCATCATCCGCTGTGCATATCTGGTCACAGTTGTGCTCTCCTGTTTCACATTCATCCACATCTAAAACAAAAGAATGCAAAAATGAGATAAACTGACACAAACCGACCTATGACCTATGTACAGCGTCTATGAGCTCAGCTCAGCCATGTGATTAGCTTAATAACAAAACTAACCAAAGTATTATACTACAAGCAGTACATTGTGTGATGCTAACTCAAGACTATGGAATTTCCACAGACATGTAAATTTGTTGCCCACCAGTGCAGTTATGGAGGTCTTCAGCTAGGGCAAATCCTTTTCGACAGCTGCAATGGTAGCTGTTGTTGGTGCCACTCGTGAGGTCGGTACAGTACTGCTCGCAGCCAGCCAAACCATCCTCACATTCGTCTAAGTCTGTATATTAAGGGATCAATGGAGATGTTTCATTGGATCAATCTGAGGTTGTTGGGAGTCACACACTTCACAAGGGTGCATGCTTTAGGAAAAAAGTGAGCTGGCATGCTCCACTGGAAAGTATGCTATGAATAACAAGCAGAGAAAAACCACAAACCCTCATCAGAGGACAATAAAGGGCTCTAGATATGACCAATGTTTTTGTAAGGGGGAAGGGGGGGGGGTGGGACTCTCCAGAACTATGGCTCAAAAAGTAAGAGTTGGGATAACTACGTTTTTTTTTATCACAGAGATGAATTGCCCTCTCTCCTGAAAAAGAAACACACACAATAGTGCTGGATCACCTATGATGCAGGAGGTGGTGTTGAACTCAAAGACGTAGCGAGTGGTGTTGGAACTTCCACTCTCAACACGCTCTCGAGTTATGTACGAGTAGCAGCCGAAAAACTGGCATACGGTACCGACCGGTAGGGTCTGGGAGACAGGGTTTGGTACTCCATACGGACCATACGTCCAGGAGAACAAACCTAGTGGTAGCTGCAGATAAAATAGGATTGGAGGGGAAACGTAACATTACTATTCCATTACAAAGAGTTGTTTCATATAGCACAGAAAATAGAATGTTTGTAAGTAGGGAACTTTTAATGGTGAAAGTAATGGTGAATTTCACTGAAGATTGAGAGCAACGGTACAGTGACACGCTATACAATTGGAGATGCAACATGTGGTATATAACAGTCTGTAGAACAGCATTAACTGTACCATCGGTGCCTTACAGGCACACTGTGTTAGAATCAGGTATATACATACAGTACAGACCGCCCGCCACTAACATTGGCAAAGTAGTCTCGAGAGGCCCTAACACCGTTGCTTTCCCTCGCACACGTAGCTCCAGTGGTAAGTCTTCTCTGAGGTATTGCCCTCCCAGTCTCTGATAATCTTCTGCAAGGATGGCTCCACTGTTACAGACACCATTGGCTCCCTCAGCTGTGTGCAGTCGGGCGTCAAAGTTATCCCATCGCCAAAATCTGAGGAAACAGCGAATATAATTTGTATACCCAAGCCTCCATAACCCCATGAGCTTATATAGTATAGCAGCCTCTGTACGCCCAGAGGTGTCACATTTAGAACTGTGGGTGAGATTGGTTCACGGTTAATGACATTCTTCAGCAACTGAATAGTTTTTTCTAAAGTCATGGGGAGATAATAGTGCATATCATGCTGAGAACGAGCAAGGCAAAGCAAGCTGGTGCTCGATGTTGGAATGCCACTATGCTATACAGGATGTGTACGGGAACAGCCAATCAAAGTGTGCACATGCTTGCGCTAGTGACTAACTTGGCACAGAAGTGTGCGTGTGTAAGATAGCTACAACAGCCCGTTTCCCAGAATTCCTGCTCTCATGGATGGCTGCAGCTCTAGCTTTATACCTGCACAGGGTTGATCTAGGATAGGAAATCTAGAAAATCTCCCGAAAGAGACTAGCTGGAGTTTCTGGAATACAAAAATGCGGAGACCTGGCTTTAAAATCCTGGACGTTTGGAAAGATAACTCCCTGGTATTTACAAACATAGTTAGGTATGTGTCCTCTCTCGCTTTCTTACCGAATATTTCGGATGACTCCAAGCCAGCCTGGCATATGGGTTCTCCGCGCACGAACACCACCATCGCCGAGAGAACGGTCAATAGAGCCGAGTGGCGGCAAAAGACGCGCACCACTGGGAGCGAGTGACGTGGCGACATGAGCGTTCTTCTGCAAGCAGTCCGCAGGATCGTAGATGTTTCGTCACGAAGCCTCTGATGAGACAAGGTGCTTCGCGCTACGACTTCTGGCCCACGCCACGGTTCTTATAAGAGGAGGAGGACGATCTCTCGACGGAGCAACCATCATTGCCTGTCACCAGGAAATTGCATTACCACGTAATCGTTTTTGCGCATGCGCATAAGTGTAGATACAGCTCGCGCTGAAGTCACGTAGGTTTTCCAAGAGACGTTGTAATGCACTCGCTGCCGCAGGCTAGCTACCGTGTTGGCGTCTGCCTAAACCCGATATCAATGTCTCAGTGGAACTTTGCACGAACACCGCTAACGCTTGTTATTGGTAAAATATAAGGACCATTGATTCATTGCGGCATCTGCTCTCGCACGTGATATCGCGTTCCACACGCCTTTCGCAACAGGATCGCGCGACGCACATCCGTGCGCTACATGCCGCAGCCCACCGCACAGATAGCTATTTGTGTGGCTTTGGTTTTACGTGCAATTTTTAACTGTCCGTGAGCTGCGGAAAACCGTTTTTTGCCCCTGTTAACTATCAGCGCCCCGTATAGCAATGCTTCGAAGTCTTTCCCCCGATCAGCAGACGAGACGGCATCTTGCACCCTCTGTTCTTTTGATGATGGCTGCCTTCTGCAGCGGACCGCCGCGCGTGTACGCTGGAGGACCATTTGTCTACCCAATCCCGACAGCACGACGCAAGATTACGGTGAGTGCCCTAGCTAAACGTGTTAGCCAGCTATCAGCAACAAACATTGAGGTCCTTTATCTTATCAATGTGCATGCTTCCTTGGAATGGGAGATGCTCTCATGCTAGCATATCATGTTAGTTACATCATTATTGGTAGTAATTGTGGCAATTTAGGTCCACAGGCTTTGTTCTCTTTCCAGCTGTGTTGTTGTAGTGAACTTAGTTAGCTGCTGGCAAATATTACATTAGCCTGCCCAGACCATAACCATCAACTTACTCCCTTCCACACACTAGAATAACAAGTTATTTCGAGACAGCTGACGTGACTTTAAGCCCAACAAGTATAGGGTGTGTGGGACTATTATTTTATTTAGCTAACTGGATGTGGAATCTGTGCTTTCCCACACCCTATGTCCGGTATGTAGCCATAAAACAGTGCCTTGTTTCTTTGAAACAGGCATTAATTGCTACAGAAGTTTGTCATTAGCTACATCTGTGGCGGTTCTACTAACACAATTACTAACACAATTACGGTTGCTTATAACATCGTTAAGCAACATATATACCTGTCAAATAGCTTTCTCTAATGAGTCATAACCAGCCCTCAGTACCGCCTCTTACATTGCTGTAGCATTGTTGTTCTTTGTTAACCCAAGGGTGAACACCTTCTTGTTTCATTTGTACCACTAATGTGTTTTAGTTAATTTTGCTCGTTTGTGCGGGATTCTTTTCAACACCATCGCAGAATACGAACATTGTAGCATTAGTGTCATATAATATACATATTCATATGCATAGTTTCAAAGTAAAATCGGCACAGTGGACAGCGTGAGAATCTCACAATCTGAACGTTTGGGAGTTCGAGCCTCACAGGTGACACATTTTTTTCCACTTGGCTTGTCCTTTTTGTAGCTGCATTATGTTATATGTCCAATTACATGGGAATTAATGGGAAGTAATTCTCATTATCTGGGAGGTATTGAAAATCTAACAAACGCTGGTAGCTAATGCACAAAGAGCCCTATATGGCTGGTAGCTAATGGGAATGTTGAGCAAGATATTGAATGTTGCATAATTACACAGTTTAATTGATACATACACATTGCATTGCTTATTTTACCAAATTCGGATTAGCTAGCACATGCTCCAGTATATCATTCGGATTTTTAATGAATTATAGTGTCATTTCATGGCATCTAGAAACTCCTAGACACATTCCATCAATCGGCGATTAACAATGAGCCATACCACAATTTAATTTATGAGAAATTCACGTCTGAAGAACAAAGCTTAGAGGCATGATAGGAAGGTATAGGAGACCTCCACATGCAGGCATGCTCTCGTGTTCTCTCCCCCATGCCGGTGATAGGCTAAACACTGTTTCCTCCCCTTCACTTCATGGATCGTGAGTTTTGTAAGCTGTGACAAAGGCTACAGGGAAATATTTGCAGGTCTGTGCCAACTCACCCCATCCGGGTTCCTGGAGTTTGGTGCTAGTTCCCATGTCGTACAGTAGCCAATGCATATTCTTTTCCCCAGAAAGCTCAATATTACCTGCTGCTCATGCTTCTTACTGACAACTCCACGAGTATAGCTAACTAACTATGACACATGCTGACTCTTGGCTTTCGAGAGCTTATCTAAAATTGCTCCTTTCTAAGGTCCCTTTTACAAAGCTAATGAATGAAGGCCGAAATACCCTCTGTGCATTTGCTCTTTGCACTGTTATGATTGACACATGTGTAGACTATTAGAACGTGCTCCATCACGACCTTGGCACTGAAACACACTGTTTAGCTACACACTGCATCCACTAGTTGCTATGCAGTTGTTCGTTTGAGGTCAGGGTATGCGGCAGTGTTACTTAGGCTAAGCGCTTCAGGCTACATCACCAGACCTTTAAGGCAAGAGACAATGAGTTTTCCAGGTATCATCGTTCGTCTTCAATTGGCACCTCATTTTCAGTATTCAGTATTCAGTATTCAGTACTACTTTACTACATGCGCACCTGGACATTATGCGCTGTATAAAAAGCCTCCCGTGCCAAAGGAGTTGGCAAGGTGGGCAAATGCACTACACCTTCAGTGTATTGCCACATTCAGTACGTAAGTCCAAATTGTGAGGGCTGTTTGAAGTGGTGCATTACATCACGGGGGCAGTAGGGGTTAATGTGCGAGTGATGCTACGTTGTCAGGGATGCCATGTGTGTGTCTTTGGAATCCTGGGTTAATTGAACATAATTGGACGCAAACATGGGTCATGTTGAATAAGAGGGTTGCCCGGGGAATAATTTCATTTGGAATTGTCGTCCGGCCCAGTTTTATTCTGTACTCAATGTATGTTGCTTCCCAAAAGAAACTCCATTAATGCGGACAAATTCTTTGGTATATTTACACGTCGACTTCATTACAGCATTCTTGCATGTTTCCAATGCAATAACAGTCGTGATTAGAGAGACGTGACGCAAAGGATTTTTAGCATGCTTACAAAGAGGCAGATCTCCTTGTCCACTTTGAATCATTATACTTTCAACCTTCTTGCTACAAGGGTTCTCCATACACTCAATATGCTTTTCGCTATACTTATCACACTATTTGCAGTCTCCCCACATACTGACTCCCTCTCTTTCTTTGCAAGTAAGCCTATTCACTTTATTCCCCGTTTTTATATCGTGACATTGCATATATAGCTATCTGTGTCTGGTTCCACCAAACAAAATCTTCACCTCCCCTCGCCATAACTTTTACAAACACCTCCCTTCCCTTCTCTATTCAATTCCGTATCAATACTTCACAATAAATAATTATAATGCATTTAATTAATTTGTTCCCTGCCTCGATCACCCAGACCCCAACCCGATCTCACCAGGAGTAGTGATGGAGCCATTGTGCAGTGAACTGGCAGAGCCTACAGTACGGGCCTCTGTTCTTCCTCACTTCCGGCAAACCGTCGAAATGATAGACACCAGTGGAGAGAAGTTCCATTTCGGATACGAGTGTGAAGGAAGTGCCACGGTGGCAAGAAACCTCACCAGATATGTAAGCCAACTCTACCACTGCTCTAACTGCGAACGAACAAAGAGGAAAGAGACCTTTGAACCACTTTATGTGATGCTTGTGCATGCCATAACGCAGACACATCTGTCAGTCAGTTACATACAAATAATAATTACCACACACGCACACGATTAAAATGGCTGTGTAGGCTAGCTTCACTCGTCAAACAAATGTAGCATTTTTTCAAACAAAAAAATTTTACACACATACAGTGTGATTATTTTAGACCTGAAACTGCATTTCTTGTCACGTGTAGCTTCCTCGTGGGCTGAGCAATAAGTGGACGTTAGACTACACGAGTGGTGATGCTGTCAACCTGGCAGTTGGAGACTCTTGCGTCTTCTTCAGTTGTTACCAATACACCGTAAATTCCTACCAGGACGGGAGAGTTGTCAGCATCGTGCACCTCATCAGTCTCAACAACACCTCTTGTGTCATAGGTAAGTAAGTCTCCAAGCTTCAAAAAAACCAAGAGTAATAATTTTGTCACAATAAGGATTATCTGTATCTTTTTTACCTTTAGCGAGTATATAAAACAGGGTGTTTGCTTCAAATGCAAGCTTGTATATAACATGAGTTATCAAGTAGCTATGCGCATGCAGCATCCACGAGTTCGTTTTGTGAACTCATAATTGTTTTTTGATCGAGCTGAAGTATGTAATTCTAATAAATGGGAGCACATGGATAATTAGGAGCACAATGTAAAATTTGTAACATGCCCATTCTTCCGATAAATTACGTAAAAGATGAGCTCTGGTGACCTCAGTCTTACATGTGACATAATAATGAGCAAACCAAGGGTAGCAAGAGATGTATTCACACTTCAACTCTATTTCTCAACCCAGATCTGAATGAATGTGCTCAAGGGTTGGCCAGGTGTGACCACGACTGCGTGGACATCCGAGACGGGAAGTCCAGACAGCTACTTCTGCACCTGTAGGCATGGCTTTGCCCTCAGCCAAGACCTTCACAGTTGCTACGGTGGGTATGTTGTCATTGAAATGATTGAGATAATATACAGGAGAGCCAAGGAATCCTTTGTTCAAATAAAACAAAGTGACCTCATTTTTCCATCTTCCCCCCCACCCTCAATTGGATGTCTTCCTTCCACGCTCTGTTTGTTTCTCTCTCTCTCTTTGTCCTCTCTCTCTCTCTCTCTCTCTCTCTCTCTCTCTCTCTGCCTCTCTCCCTCTAATCATTCTCTCTTTATCTGTCTCATTTATCCTCTATCTAATGCTCTCTCTCTGTCTGTCCATTTATACTTCTGTGTGTGTGTGCGGTCAGACTGTAGACTGTCTCTCTCTCTCCCTCTCTCTATACAACAGATGTGGATGAATGTGAAACAGGAGAACACAACTGTGACCAGATATGCACAGCGGATGATGACAGTGGATGGTTCAACTGCTCCTGCAGAGATGGGTTCACTATGGGTGAAGACGGCCACACTTGCATTGGTTAGTTGACACGCACACTGTGTGAGGAAGAACGAGAGCCTGACATCTTGTGAGAGAGTGCAGGACAGATAACGAGAAGAAAGAATCTATTTGCTCTCTGTAGATATTGATGAGTGTGAGACGATGAATGGGACGATGCTGTGCCAGACAAACACAACAGGTCGTGAGTGTACCAACACCCCAGGCAGCTACCAGTGTCTCTGTCTGGAAGGGTTCGAGCTCAACGACCAACAGAACAAGTGCACCGGTATACAGGAATTCATGTTAACTGCTCGTTCTAAGAACTCACAATTAAGTGAATGGAAGTTTATGTTATCGTGCTAGACATCGATGAGTGTACTGAGGGTACTAGTGTGTGCCAGCAAGGCTGTGACAACACAGAGGGAGGCTACAACTGTTCATGTAGGACTCAGTGGTACAGACCGGATGGTCAATACAATTGTACAGGTCAGTGATCCTCTTTGATTGCAACGGAATCAGATTTGCACCAGAGTTCAAAGGAAAATTGGTTGTTTTGTTATATACAACCATTATATTATTATTGCACAATGTATAAATGTGTGGTAGGTAGTACAGCATGTGTTACTGTCATTACTTTAACAAACTACACATATTCCGTCATGACAACGTGCAGCAATGGATGTGTGTACAGAGCTGGCTGTGAGCTGTGGCGGCCACTCGAGCTGTGTCAATTCTCCCGACTCTGAAGAGGGCTACAGTTGTGTATGTGACTCTGGCTACAGACAAGATGGGAACTCTTGCTCAGTTATAGGTATATACCGTGTATATTATAATAAAAGGGGAATTTGTTTTGGCACAGCTTGCGCAAGGACTATACATTCTCGGTACTTGTGTAATCATTGGTAATACCTCTGTGCCAACTTGGCTCACGACTGTGCAAAAGAAGGGGAAAATCCTTCAGAACTATAGGACACTCCTTTCCCCCGTATGTGCTCCTAATTAAGTGGTTTGTGCCCCATGTTGCTATGCTACAATCAAGGACAACAGGCAATACTACAACTTGTATTAATAATGCAAATTCAATCCATTGAGGTAGGAATTTGAAGCTAATATGGGGTTATGTACCCAAATGAGCTAACATGCGTTCTCAATATTCTATGATGACTGCAGGTATTGTCCATGTGTACTGGGTCGGTGGTGTTGTACTCCTCCTCCTCTCTCTCGTACTTATTGGAGTCTTCTTTCGTCTGAGACACAAGTATCTCCAAAACAAGTAAGGGCCCTGACATGTTTAAGAAATAGGCCTCTGTCTAGCTATCTGGAGTCGGGATTTGAGCAGTTGGACTAATGATCACACAAATGCATACACATTGACTATTCTCGTGTGTGCGTTTGGCTTCAAGGATCTGCAAGTTGTCACTGGGATGGGTGGTTTTGCTGTTACATCAGCACTTAACCTGTTAGCTACTAGTTGCAGACTATGCAATCCTACCATGCTATATGTCACATGAGGACTTCAATTGCGTTGTGGTGACACCCGTGCAAGGCAACAAACTGTTGGCTTACACGGATGGTCATGTCAGTAAATGGAGTGTTGCACCTGTCTCCAGACACCAGTGACCTTGTCTCTGTTTGCAGCTCGAAAAATGTGGGCTTGGCAATCAATACACATACATGTACACCAAACACTTTGTAAAGAAAGGAGCATTGATGCTATATACATACTTGAGGCTGATGTCATAGTAGCTATCAGTGGAATACAGAGGTATGTTTGTGTAGCCACAGGACTATCATAGCTAGGTACAGAGTTCACAAATTAGTGGAATGTTAAACCTCACGCTTTTGCAGGCAATGAATATCCCACCACCCTGCATGCTCTAACACTTGAAATGGCTTAGACCTTTAGAATTCTTGATATATAATATACAGGTTTATAGCGAAAGATGTTAACCAATTGTAAAAAACACAAACCCAGGCTCAATATTCTTCATGATTCCCACAGACATGACATAGAGAAGAGATATGGTGTCTTGTTCAGTTACAACATGAAGAAAGAGGCAAGTCACAATAATAACGATAGACCGAAATTAGCAATGTTTTTTCTTGCAAACACAGAAAGTCGATCCCTCGTACGAACCAATTGATTTCAGTCCAATGAGACCATTATCATACACATTCTCCCTCATGAGTACGCTGGAACTCTATGGCTATTCATCTCACCACTCTCTCTGCGAGATATCCAACGGTGAACTCACCACCGCGGAAGGAAAACTATTCTCGCAGAATGTCCGTTTCATCAGCGATGAAGAGAACCTTAGAGTCAGAAGAGAGCTGAGCGCCATAGTTGAAGACAGAGAAGACAACGTGTCGGAGGGAAAATTGTCTGAGAACGTCTCGCCTGATCAGGACAGTGAATCAATTGGAAGCAAAGACTTCAGAACGTCAGCGTATAGCGGCTATGTTGAGGACGCACAAAACGTGTACCAGTCCCCTGGCCAAAGTTTAAGCTGTGGAGCTACTATGTTAGCTAGCGCCATTGAGGAAGAACATGTGGTAGCAAGTGATGGATACGTCGAGGAGCAGGTGCTAAGCAAATCTACTTCCAAAGCAGAGAATCTCGAAGCAGGCGATTGTATCGATGGAATCAACACCCGTGCAATAGCCAAACCCATGGAGAAAAATGAAAGTCAGCTGACACAAGATGCAAAAGACAGTCCCATCCTAAACGGTGTGATTCCTTCAACAGAGGACAGCAGGAAGGGAGTAGACTCTCCTTTGCCATGTGAATCCTCAGCTGATACAGTATTCAGCATGCATCCTGCACCAGCTACCTTCCACCAATTCACCCAAACAAGCACAGCAGTTACATGCACCACAGGGAGTACCGAAACTAGCGGGTATACATGCGAAGAAGGAAACCCTAGCTTCTCAACAACCAGCTATGTCACTGAGTCTGGAACGGCCACCAGCTCAGAGTCCAGTGGATATGCTTCAGAGTATATCTCAGACAAAAAAGGCGTCTCACTCTCAAGCCAGGCGTGTTGCAACAGTGATCACCACAGACCCGAGTTTGCCGACAAGAGCACCTGTGCAGCTCCCTCTGACTATGTCGGTGACGCGGGGCAGTGTAGTGTAGGGAACAATAACACTGGCCTTTCCTCAGAGACAATACAACCACCTCATCATCTCTTCAGCAAAGATCATCTCCAGAAACCAGTCCAGGATCTCCACTCTGAGATCAACACCCCTCCCCCTGATTCTTACATTAACTCTGAGATGACTGGGGAGGACTCGTCTTTCTGCTCGGACGATCACATCGCACCTGTACAATCGGTCACAGCAACCGGTGCATGCACGAATGGGGACTCTGACTGCCAGTGGCTACGTCCCTTATCCGATTAATGGCAACACACATCCACCACCTGCTGCAGTCACCAGCCAACACCTCTGCTGTGTTGCTGATACCACGAGCACAGAAGTCCAACCGATCAGAAACGGTGAAAGTTGCATACCGCTCTCCACGAAATCTCTTCAAGCAACTCCACGTGTGGCTGATTCTGCCCCAGTTCATGATGTATCCAGGGATAAGGACTCTCTCGGGGATCCTTCCATTGAGTCGCGTGTCTTGGACTATGAGCCTTGTGTGGAAATCATGCGAATGACTATGCAGGAGGATGTGGCGAGCTCAAGTGGCTACATCGAGACATCTCAGCTTCACTTCATTCCATAACCCAACCACAGTACTCAAGTTTAATTGCACATTTTATTAATAACGCCGCCTTATTTTCAGACTTCAAGTTAACCTATCAAGTACTTCAAGTTAAAATTATAATGTCTCACCAATGTTATAGTATATTTCCATAAGTATCTTCGGGCCGTACAACTTTTGTTGCGAAGCGAGCAAACTTCATTGAACCGCATAATTTCTTTACTAACCTCTTTCCCTGTATGAGGCTAGACTAGTATTATGTTTTACACAATATGCCCAAGACCACTCTGATTCTTACTAAAGTCAGCAAAGATTAATTACTTTGGGGCTACAACACATTGATAAGATAGTGGAGAAAAGGTACTTTTTGCTATTATACTACAGTTTTCGTTACCTCACTGATATCATTATCGTTCTGTATGGTATGAGTTGTGTCCACTAACAATCAAGAATTGATACCTAGCTATCAGGTTTATTTTCACCAGGTAACGAAAAGATACATAGCATAAAGCTGTAGCTACTTCTTGGTTGCTGCTATTTACTCACTTTGGGTGAAAAAATGTATGGTAGGTGGACACATCCGAAGGCATTTCGTGCTATATATATACAGGGCAGAAAAAATGATAGCTATCAGGTTTATTCTGTGAACTAAAGTATACCAGACACTCACGACTATTGAGGGTTACACTCAGAACTGCACACATCATTCGTCTTGTTTAAAGGGTGACTCCCATGCATAACCTAAATGGTACTAAATAGCTGAGTTAGTACTATGACTGACACAACCTGTGATTGAATGTTTAATAGACAGGCACCATAATAAGCTTACAGTGAAATCTCAAAAGAACACTTTTCTGTATAATTATTATGACTTGGTGCTACCTCATATATACTACCTCCGAATAAGTGACGCTCCTGATTGAATGTACTGATGTTCCCCATAATTATCAAGAGGTTTCACCGACGTTCGTGCATTGCAAAGTCCAAGGATGCACTAAAAATGTTGATTGGTGAAAGAGAGAAGTCAGAATAACGTCAGTTCTAATACGCGTGGGTATGCGCGTGCGCATGAACTCTATATAGCGCTGTTCGTGAGCCCCACCCACTGCCGAAGCAAAACGTGTGGCGCCCGTTTTCTCACAGAACAGCCATAATGCCGAAAAAAGAAAAGGAACCCGAGGAAGACAAAGAAAAGAGTCCGGAGAAAGATTCGGAAAAGGAGTCCGAGGAGAAAGGCTCCGCGGTAACTAAAGAAAAGGGTTGTACTGTGGAAATCAAACCGGAGGATTACGCTCGCTGGGGTCTTGGACGTGGAGTCGATATCACGAAGCAGAAACCATGGGTCGAGAAGTCATCGTTTCAGGTGCGGGAAGTAGACGTTACCTCTGACAATATTATAATTGAAACGAAGGATGGCGGACTGCTGAAAGCTTACAGAAAGACGCAGAGGGGTTCACGGTGAAAGTGTTTGACGACTCGACCTCTACAAACCGGTTCGAATTTTCTATCACCAGTTCGTTTCCGAGGTGCAGGAAGAAGAAGCAAGACGAGCAAAACGAATGTCAAGACTCAGGCGCATGTGCCACGGGCACTCCACGACCACTTGAATACTACCTCGAAACAACATTCAATTCCGTCCGAAATAGAAGCACTGTGCACGTGCGAAAAAGCTCCCGGCTGAAAAACGTTCGACTTTTGCTGAAGGAGATAATCGAGCCCAAGATTATCCTGCGATACGAAACAGTGGCGGAAGGGGAGAGAGGCCTACTACATCAGATGCATACACAGCCCTCGCAACGGCTACCTCTGTGTCAAAGAGTACGGTGAGGGGAGCACAAAACGCTACCACGTGTGTGTGAAGCAAACCGTCGACTACCGCTGCAGTGATGCTAAAGTTTATATGCTATTTCAACTGAAACAATTTCGTCTGGATCTATCATTTCTTGATTAGCTTAATTCAATTCTGAAGAGTGCTCAATTTAAAATAATGTACGGTCCCACAAGAGCTATTATGAACATCCCTGATATAACCAACATCCAGTAAACTTGGATTAACATAGTTCTCGCAATGCATGCCCCTCAGTGAAAAAACTTAACTGTGGATGACTTGAAATGGGGAAAGATCAGTCAGCCAAAACATTATTGGCAGGAAACAATTATGGCCCAGTTTAGTCATCACTTATAATGATGCTCTTACCCAATCAACGTTTCCTCCACAGAGCCATCTAAGACGGAACAAAGGTGCCTCCCCACTGTAGTATTTCCTTCTCAATATTATACCAAATGGAATGCCATAATTTCCCTATACTACAGCTTTATGCATACAAGGTGTTTCTGCATATTATATATTATACACATGGTTATGAATGTGTATACACACATGATAGTGATATATAGTGTCCACGTTGAGTATCACATAAGGAGGAAAGAGTCTTTAAAGTAATGTTGCACACTACAAAGGTAAGGGAAAGAACCAGAGCGTTTAATTTCGAAGAGGGAGGGATAGTAGGCAATGACCCAGTCTTAACGTTACACTTACTGTTAGACAAATATTAGGCATCGAAAGTATAGCCTCGCTGGGTAGACCCTAATGTTGCCAGTTTTAGGTACGACTTTTAAAATAATGATTTGAATACCCAGTGAGGGGGAAAATCGTTTCCTCATATTTTGGTAATTACCCTATCTAGGCAGTATTACTAAACCATCTGCACGAAATTGAATTCCAGTGATTTCCTAAATACCTCACCTGTGTCGGCAATCCTTGGCTGGGAACACCCAAACACCTATTATAGTAATAATAAATCCAGCCCCCAGGTTTCTGTGATAGTGTGTAGCTACATCTCGACATAAGCTCCATGGGGCCCATGCAGTCGTTTAGTTATAACAATGTCAAACGTGGCCTCCATAGGGAGCCGTAATGTTCTACTAATACGTGTTCGCGTTCGCCTGCCACCAGTATAGCTATACATCAGTCTTGATCGTGCATAAGCAATAAAATTGTGTTAAATCACCCCAAGAGGGGTTTATAAGCTGAAATAACACAAACCTCGGAGATGGGGACGACCTCTCTACAAGGGACAAAAGCCGTTTACCCTAAGTGTCCCTATCTCGGAGGTTCCACTGTATTCCAACCCTATATATCGATCCACACAACAATATACTTTTATATATAATTCACTACCGTTTTGCGAGTTAAGGTGATTATCTAGTTTCTGCATTTCTTTTGTAATTATCTTTTCAGATGCAAAACCAATCCACAAAGCTGTTTTGCGACTTTAGAATAATGATTTGAATACCTAGTGAGAAGGAAAATCGTTTCCTCATATTTTGGTAATTACCCTTTGAACTTAACAACATCTACGCAGTATTACTAAACCATCTGCACGAAATTGAATTCCAGTGATTTCCTAAATACCTCTCCTGTGTCAGCAATCCTTGGCTGGGAACACCCAAACACCTATTATAGTAATAATAAATCCAGCCCCCCAGGTTTCTGTGTGTAGCTACCTCTCCATAGGCTCCATAGGCTATGTCCTCCATAGGGAACACCGTCAATAATAAACTATCACTGTACCATTTTTAGGAGAAAAGTTATTCATGATAATAAGATTTATGATGACTTTGAGATGTGATTGTTTTATAATTATGTTAGGTCAGTTAGTAGAGTGTAAAGTTTTTAGTATATACTGCGTTATTCATTATAATATCAGCACTATTATGCTTGAAATGGGTCAGTTTACTATGTTACATCTGAGAAATTAGCTTTCCCCAAAGAAATACTCACATTAGCTTCTCAGCTATAATTCCATGAAAGTGGTGATTCCTATAGCTGCATGCGTGTGAGGTCCTTAGACCACATTGTAGCAGACACCTGGCGCGTGACTAACCCTTTGAGCTATGGTAATCATGTATGTAATTGGAGATTAATTTATATTGTGGCGCCAAACATGTGCGCGACTTTCTTGATAAGTGCGTCCATTAATTAATAGATTTACGTATACGTACCAGCCTACGCAAGACAAGCACTATAAATATTTCGCAGCTGTAGCCATTTCATAATAGACTGCTCTGCGCTACTTCTACTTAGTTGACCATGGCATCGACTGAAGAATCGAAACAAACCGATCTGTCCAAGATTACCGAAGACGATTGCCGGAAGTTTGCTCGCTGGGGTCTCGGTCGAGGGATCAACATTACCAAAAAAACGCCATGGGTAGAGAAGACGGCATTTCAAGTCCGGCATGTAAAACCGGAAGATCTTATTGAAACCGACGACGGAGAGCTTTTGAAAGCGTACAGTGAAGAAGTACGCAGCCGAACAACTGTCAAAAGCGAAGTACAGGCAGGAATAAAGCCGACCAACGTGCCTGTTTGCGTTCGCATGGATGTCGAGCACACTCGGTCAACCCTATCGTCGAAATACGTTGTTGGAACGAAGATAAAAAAGCGGACGATATCGTTTCGCATGGACTTTGCGGACGTACCACAGTCGCTGGTCAAAAACGTGGAGGACGCAATAAAAGAAGCTGAAGAAAGGCCATCTCTGAAAAAAATCGGCAAGGCGGCCACGTGGTCTAAGAGCATGGCCAATTTTGACGATAAACAGAACGACAAAAGGCCTCGTTTGCACGCAGCGCAATCGGCAGTTCAGTTAGTAAGGGTCCCCGAAGAGCCTGCCGCCGCAGCCACCGACGGGATGGTCGAGCCGTATATTCCGTCTCTGGAGTCGATCGCCGATAGACCGCTGTCACGCTCTGAATCGGTCTTTGACGAAGTTTTAACTATGCCCGAGGGGTCAACATTCGAAAAACGCCTGGGCTTTTGGATCAAAAACTGCCTCAAACGCCAGGGATACCACTGCCCTTCGTCTGAAAATTTTCAGGATATGATCCATTCACCGCACTTGGAGAGCATCAGTCGGCCAATGGTGCAGGTGATCAAAAGCTTTCTCGACCACTTCGTCCGCGAGTTTGGCGTCACTCATTACGTCAGCGCCATCGAACTCGGTGCGTTGGAGTACAAGGAGCTGACATCCAAGGAGTTCTATAACCGAGCAAAATTGAGCTCCAAAGCCTCGCTCACGGCTGCAACATACGGAGGAGCGGAGGCTTCGACCAGCCACACCTTTACAAAGTCTAAAAAGAGCGAAAAATCGGAGAGGAAGAAGATTGGGGTAATGAGCAAGGAGAAGGTCGCGGAGGAAGCGGTGATCGGCTGCGCATTCATTCCAATTAGCGCTCTCATAAAAATGCCGTTTCTGCAGCTCGCACTCAAGAGTAGCGTCGACAAGTACGTCGTTGAAGCTTCTAAAGGTATGCATTCGAATTTGAAATAACCGCCTGAATTGGAGTAATGTGCGGTAACTATAGCTCTAGCTACAGTGTATTTTGCTAAGTTGCTAAGTCCTCTAGATTCGCTTTCGCCATTTAATGTCCTAAAACAATCACTTTTATGCAGTGATACACTTTCATTAATAAGGGTTGCGTCAATTAGCTACATCCGTTTCTGGAACTTGGAAAGCCTTGATTTTTTTTACAATGACCAAATTTGCATTCCTTGATGTGGTTATAATTATACAGGTGGTGGACCTTACAACATTATGTTTGGAGCTGATATTGACACCCCAAAGTACATCGCTGTTTACCGAGAAGAAGGTTCCGGGGTGTTGAAATTGACAGGAACACTTGACATAAAAGAAGCTGAACAATTCATAGTGAAAGTTCTCGACGACTCGGACACCCATAATCGCTTGGAGTTCTCCATAACCAGTTCGCTACCAGAGTACAGGAAGAAAGTCAAAAAGCAAAAGAAAGAAGAGAAAGCTGAGGAAAATCCCCGGCTTGTGGAAGACGGTCAAACGACCACAGGAGAAACCGAAGAGGACGCAGATGGGGAAGGTGGCCGAAGAGGAAAGGTGGAGAGAAAGCCGCAGGCCTCAGAAGGAGATAACGCATCAACGATGGGAGAGGGGGAAAGTGACGGGTGCAAGTCACGCACACTGGAGTACTATCTCGAGACACGTGTCAACACATGGGGAAAGGGCGACGTCGTGCGCATGCGAATGAATTCGAGGTTGAAGAATGTTCGACTCCTACTGAAACAGCGGATCAATCCCAAGATATCGTGCAACACGAAGCAGTGGCGACGGGGCAGGGAGTCCTACTACATACAGTGTATCCACAGCCCACGCAATGGATACCTCTGCGTCAAAAAGAGGGGAGAAGAATATCAGGTCTGCGTCAGGCCGTCTGTCGATCGTCATTCCGATGAGAATGGCGTATTCATGCTGTTTCAGCTGAAGTCTTCAACTTGACTTAATTGGATTTTTGACCATAATTATAGCACTATAATATAATATAGATGCTACATTTTGACTTTGATTTTTTTAATGGTAGCTTCATTGTAGCTAATATGTTGGTTTGTTAACATTGTAATCCGCCTCCAGACGCGGAATAGTACGGAAAAAAGTAGACAACGCGGAATCCGGTAAACTAATCACCCTTTTACGATGAGAATTACAGACGCGGTTCACTGTAGGCGAGCTTTTCTGTTGCCCCGAGCGCCTTATCACGAGAGCATGCGTCGTCGAATTGGTATTAATTAGGCGCGGAAATGCCGCGTATAATACTGTAGCCCGCCGCGGGGCAGGCAACAAATGAATCTTGAAATTCTGTCTACCTGACGCTGCATAGGTGAATACAGTAACCTTCAACCTACCTTCCTACGCGCGGTAGTTAGCGTCACCCCCGCGAAGCGTCTGTGGCGGGTAATACGCGAGTCACAGCGACAACGAAAGGAGCTGAGAAATGGCAGCGTAAGGTTAAAAGGCATCTTGATTCATTGCCTTGTGTCGCGACATGGTCTGCACTGCTTCCGCATAGGCCGATCGCACCGTACTGATATAAATCGAAGAGTAACCAAGAATCGTGTTCGATGTAAAGGCATATAGGTTTTTCGTGGAAAAAAGCAGAGTGACTTATAATGTTATTCTTGACATTGTTTTATCTACTGCTAAACTTTCATAAGTTAGCTGCAATTAGCATCGATGTTGATGGGGAGCATGGCATCTCTAACATCAGCTGTTGTCCCAGTAGCTCAGGGAGCGCTGCAAGTCCCTGCAAAACTCTCACTCTTGCTCTGGAGTGTGTCCAGAACATCTCCCTGACAACACCAGTGTCTCTGATTGTCAGTGAAGGAAATTACACCTTGACCAATGACTCACGGCTGACTGTGATAGAAGAGAGAACTGGAGGTTTCGCTATCACTGGGAACTGCAGCACTGCTGGACCTAGTTGTGTAAAGATTGATTGTGAGAAAGGTGCTGGGCTCTCCTTTATCAAGTCTGATGGAATAAAACTAGAGAATTTTGTGATCACTGGCTGTGGTTTTCCTAACAACAGCACCAGCAAAGATTTCTCTTCGGATGACCCTTACTTCCAGGAGGTCACAAGTGCTCTCTATTTCCTTCTCTGTCGTACAGTCACCATCTCCCATGTCACAGTACAGGAGACTGAAGGAACTGGTGTGGTTATGTACAGCACAGTTGGCGTCAACACAATCACAAACTCAAACTTTCACCTCAAACAAACCCCTTACATTGAATGACTCAGAGACTATCAGTGGAGGTGCAGAGACCAGTGGAGGTGGTGGTGTGTACATTGAGTTTGCCTATTGCTATCCTGGCAACACCTCTTGCTTCAATGGCCCCTCTAATATTCCTGATGATTACACAAGAGACTCAACCTACACCATATCTCATTGCCTCTTCTCTGATAACTTTGCAAGTGTAGCAGACGAAACTCAATTCACATATATTCTGCCGCAGAAATGGAACCATCTGGCATTTGGCAGAGGGGGCGGGTTGTCAATGTTTTTCAAAGGAAATGCAACAAACAACTCTGTGAATATTATTGAAAACTGTGAATTTTCAAACAACACTGCATTATGGGGAGCTGGGCTGTTTGTGGAGATGCAGGATTGGAGTAATAACAATAGTGTCTCTGTAAGCAACTCGAATTTCTCAAATAACATGTACTTATTCAAGGATAACAGCAGTTACGGTACAGGTGGTGGTGGTGCAAGAATTGGCTACAGTTTTCTTTGGAGGCACACATGTCAAAGAGAATGCCATTGCTTTTGAAAGTTGCAAGTTTTTTCAGAACTCGGCCTATTTTGGTGGCGGAGCATCACTGCATGCAGCAAGAGAGCCTAGTGCGAGTAAACCAACCAATTCTCTGGTTTTTCTCAGCACGACGTGGGAGGAGAATGTCGCAACAACTGGATCTTGAGCCGATTTATCGGTATGGCACCCTGAGCCATACGGAGCGGTCGTCATTGTAAACTTCACAAACTGTACTTTTCAAGACAACACCTGTTCGACTTACACAACGAACGAAAGCACTGCTGTTGGAATAGGGGCTCTATACCTTGACTCGATCCCTGTGTATTTCATGGGCGAGAATAAATTTCTGAATAACAATAACTCTGCCCTTGCTGCAATAACAACTGGAATACACATCACTACCAACGCTACCGTAGACTTCATAGGCAATGCCGGTCGCTATGGTGGTGCCATCGCGTTACTCGGTGCAGCATTCATTGAAACACACCCTCTCTCTAGATTGAATTTTGTCCAAAACTCTGCCACCATCGCAGGTGGAGCAATCTACGAGATATCCATTGGAAAACAAAACCTCATCAACTGCAGAAACTGTTTCATTCGTTACAGCGATATCACAGTTCCACACAAAGAGTGGACATCAACCTTTTTCTTCTCAGGAAACCTTGCTAACGGCACTAACGATGGATCCATATTTGCATCGTCCCTCCAGCTATGCCGATGGGATGGTGCCTATACCAATACATCTGAGGACCTCTTAAAAGTGTTTTGTTGGAAGAATTGGGATTATAATGGTAGCAACTGTACCACTGAAGTTCGGACTTTACCCAGAATATTTGAGTCTCATTCGAATTTTGCAATTGAGGTGTTTCCGGGGAAGCGAAAACACCACAAATTAACAATGTGGGATGATCGAGGGAGTGATGTGACCAGCTCTAGTGTATTTATTGCCAGGTCGCTCTCAGATGACATACACATAGATTCCAACAGTCTCTACATATCCAGCAATCGCATCAAAGTGCACAAAACGGATTACGAAAATGATGGTATAGTTGAAGGGAGAGTTTCACTGGAGACGATAGACCCAAGAGTGGTGAATGTGACATTAAAGGTTACTGTCTTGCCGTGCCCTCCAGGGATGGTGTTGGAGAAATCCACCCAAGCTTCTTGCCAGTGTGGAGGATACCTTTGGTGGGGTAATTAGGTGCGATTTGACCAATTTTCGTACAGAATACAACGAGGATATTGGATTGGATCCTATCATCATAATAAAACTGTGACTAGCAGAACTCCTTACTTTGACCCTAGATCAAACGACTTATTCATTGAGCTTCCAAGAAGAGCCGATCACTTAGACAGTCTTCTCTGTGGCAGTATTAACAGGATGGGGACTCTATGTGGAAAGTGTATGGATGGATACGGCCCTTCCATTCACACATTAGAGTGCATACGTTGTGATGCTGACTACATGTGGGCTTTATACCTACTCTCCCAATTCCTCCCTCTGACTCTTCTCTTTGTTCTAGTTATAGTTTTAGACATCCGCGTGACTTCAGCACCGGCTAATGCATTCATCTTCTTTGCCCAGGTCTTACCAACTGTCTTCACACTGGATGGTGGTGGCGCCATAACTCTCAACCACCCAAACAACCACATGGCCGATGTATACACCAATTTATACAACATCTGGAATTTGATGTTTTTCCGGCTAGGGATATGCCTCAGTTCCCATCTTAATAGCCTAGGAGCCATTTCCATTACTTACCTGGAAGCTATCTATCCGCTAATGCTGATTGGGATTGTACGTCTGTTGGTTTGGATGTATGAGAGAGGTTTTCGTTGCATTGTGCGCATTTTTAGACCACTGCACATAGCTATTGCACGATTTCAGCAGTATCTAAACATTCGACGCTCCCTCATACATACCTTTGCTTCGTTTGTCCTCTTGTCTTACAGTCGATTCATTATAGTGTCATTTATGCTAATGACTATCACTCCACTTGTGAAACAGAATGGGAAAGGTTTTGGTCTTGTTGCATTTTATGACGGAACTATTACTTTATTTAGTCCAAGACATGCCTTCTATGTTCTCCTGTCTCTACCAGCTCTGATAGTCTTTGCCATCATAACCCCTCTTCTGTTAATTGTTCCATCTCTAGTTCGGAATCTCACCGTCATTCGTAACAGATGGCCAAAACTAGGGAAATATCTTCCAAATTGTGACCGATTCTCCGTCACTCCCTGGCCCAGACTTACTACTTTTCTCGAGGCCTTCCATGGATGCTACAGAGATGGCACTAATTCCACAAAAAACGCAACGGATTTCGACTTTCGCTGGTTTGCTGGGTTCTATCTTATGCTTCGCATAACTCTTTTTGGTGTCCACGCTTTTGCTAATGATTGGTTAGAGCAATACACTTCTCAACAATTCGTCTGTGTTGTCGGACTACTGGCATTCCTTTTCTTGCGGCCTTACAAAGACGACTACTACAACAAGCTAGATGCAGGGATGTTTGTTCTCCTACTGGGAATCAACACACTCACAATGTACAACTATGGAACAGCCATAATACGCTCTAAAATATCAGCCGCTGCCTTTGGTATACATTATGTCCTCGTGCTTATTCCTCTTATTTACATCTCTGTGATTGTGACAAGGCACATTTATCATTGTGTACGCGACAAATGTGCTAAAAGTAAACGCCGCCGCCATGCAGTTATCACAGATCCAGAACAGGAGGAACTGGTTAGTAATGGCGAAGGGCCGATGACACAGTCAGGGTCACATGACTACCTGTCTTTCATGAAGGAAACGGGAAGACTCAAAGATGTAAATACTTACCAACCATCCAACAGTTGGAGTTCGAGATCAGAGCAAAATTCTAATTCATCCGGCAGTATGCACAGCGTAAATTCAACCAGTTCTCCTGATAATTCCAGGGATGATTACGAGTAAATTGAGGAGCGACAGTCAATTTCTCTAACTGAGAGACATGCTCACTCTTCAAGCAAGAGAGCTTACTCCAACCGAAGAGCAATGGGAGGTTGGAGGGGTGGTGAGGGGGGTAAAGCGACATACTCAAAAGAGGGGGAGTGAAACTAAAAAGAGGGGTACCGATTACTACCGTTGATCTCCTTAATAATGTGTATGCTTAAATTGCTTTGTAGTTTGTACACAATCTAGTTTTAGCTTTGTTGTCAGCTTTAGTTAAAGAAGTATAGGTGTATAACGATGTATACTATGATATTATGCTGCCGTTATTATAACTCCAAAGAGAAGAAGTAGTTTTGATGAGATAAAAGATTCTCTGTACTAAAATAAGCAGTGCTCTGTGCTGCATATCAACAGCTTGTCTACTGTGCGAATTTGTGATCAGTAAATCGAGATCGAACCAGTGACCTCACACTTATAAAATAACCTTTCGCTTAGGACAATGTAGCATAGCTTATATAGTCTATATATGTCTATTTTATTGAGCGGATCTAATAATGCGATTTAGCTTACATAAAACCAAAGTGTAAAAGTATCATTCTTTGTATTTTGAACTAAAGCCAACCTAACCTATGATAATATAGAACTTTAAAGCGAAGCAAGCCTACATTAGAACGTACAAAGTAAGATCGATGTCCCACTATACTACTAACCTACATAACTGTTCGTTCCTGTTGATACATCATATTCTAAACCTTGCAACAAAAACTGAAGCCAGCTTCAACCAAACCAAATGTAATTTTTCTTCTTATACCAAAACCATCTCAAGAGTATATACACAAAGTCAGATTGTATGGCCCTCAAACTATGTCACTTGGTTATTTTTACTAACACCTGCACAGGCAAGGCTTCGACTGGAGAGTACGCCTTGTTGCCTGCCAGAGGGATATCGGAAACCAATAGTTCCACTACCAAATGAACAGTGTTTCAATTCATGTGTTGTGAACTTAGCCAGGACAACCAGACTAGTTATACTTTTAACCTAAGCCACCCATCAAATGGCAGATTTTAGTCCACCTAATAATTATTATAGGGAATACATGGTTACTTTAAACTGATACATGCCTAACCAAGACTGGTCCGTGTGGCCCTGAAATGTAGTGAAGGATGTTGGCCTAAACAACACCACGTCTGTATTAATAAGCATAAACCAGAAAAACTTTTAATGTCACTCATGAATTTCCTTACTGGAGCTGCGTAAAACAAGTGGGGTGGTGTGGCCCTTAGTCTGCCCAAGTTTGGTGCAGCTAGTAACTCGACAGCTACCACCACAATCAGGGCTTAGGAATGGAGCACAAATATAACAGACAATCTTCTGCACATTGTAGGAATTCTGGGTTGACAGAGACGCGTGAAATGTCAATTTTCCATTACCAATTTTGTCACCTAAACCATAAGCCCTTGTCAGCAGCTAAGACATCAAGTGTTGCTTAGGACCCAGGACTTTGACACTCTTTACCTTTGCTATCCACGTACAAACACAAATTGTGTTATTGAGGGCCGATTTCAAGACAGCATAGCATTCTTCCATATATGGTGTGAAATATTAAAGCAGCCCCAGGGCAGCTAACCATATGTAAGAGATAATGTGCGTTTAGAGTTGTATACGTGATTTATGGGAACGACGGGTGTGGTCGAGAGACTGCCGCGGCCACGGTCTCGCTTGCCACAGGGAGCAAGAGAAAGGGGTGTGGTTGCCTCAGCCGTCCCTCGCCTCTACAGCCTCTACAGAACAGTTTTTGTCTTAAGATGCTGATGCTAGCTCAATAATTTTTTGTATTGAACGTTCAATATTATTATTCATATTGAACGCATACTACAATACGGGAATGCGCGGCCTTTAATCCGCCCACGCAAGTCACAATAAGTATGAAAAGCACTAAAGTGCAAACCCTCGGCCCTCGGCGGTAAACTAGCGAGTTATAGCATCGCTGTATGCTGGGCCGTGCGTCATCGACGGAGCCAGTAACACGAGTCTCACCGTAACACAGGGTAGTTGCATTAGCGGTTAGAGCAATAGCTCAGGTGCTTCAGAGGCTCTCATATTTGCTTTATCCGCTCTTCAATGCTCTCGCCAGACGTTTTATAGATGGGAAGGCAAGGCCGCAACCACAAACTGCTCGCCACCTGAACTATTATGCTACATTGCGAACATACCTTGCTCAGCATGTTTATCCGGTTTATCCATAGGGAACAGAGATCAAAACTGACAGAGGCCGTGGATCGTGGCGTAGCGCATGCTCCGGCGATTAATTGACATGACGCGTGGGCGCTATATAGCTAGCCTGCAAGAAAGGGCGCGTGCGCGATCGACTGCGCGTTGGCCTTTTCGCTTGTTTTCACGCCATATCTCTGGAACGCAGTCGTTTCAGGAAAATCGCCACATTCATATCCATCTTCTCGTTGTTCACAACCAGTTGGTGCCACTCATTGGCCGCCTTGTAGCCTGTAGTGCGAGAACTCGCGCGGACAGACAGACAGACAGAATGAAAAGCACTGAAGTGCAAACCCTCGGCGAACTGCTGTACCACTAATTGATAGGCTAGGCTTTTAGTATGTGGTGTTCACGCTAGTAGCTCGGGTAGAGTCTGACACGGAATAGCTACAGTAGAGCATGCGGGAGTGCATACACGCCCTACGTTGTGTCGGACTCTCCGCGAGCTACTAGCGTGGAGACCACGAATAACTAAAAGCCCAGCCCATCAATTAGTGGTATCGCGTACGTATGTGCGCACGATCCCGCCGTGCGACCAATAGTGGTGCGCATGCGTAGTGTGTTTTAGCGCTGATGTCATAGATATTGCGCAGCAGGGTTTGCGTCTGGACAACGTTGTTGCTATTTTTATCATAGATCAATACGTAATATATCTTGCGCAAAGAAACGTTACTATTTATGACATTGCACAGTGACTATGCACGGTCAGCAACCTAGTGGTATAAAAGGACAGAGGTAGTGAGCCAGTTGCATGAAAGGAAAGTATGGGCAAAAAAAGGAGCTATGAGGAGATTGAGAACATAGATGAGGTGAATGGTCCCATTTCGAGCACTCAAGTCCATGGTGCTATAATTTCTCTGCCACCTGTGAAGAGGGGGCGGAAGTCAGTTTTTTTCGATGGGATGCTTGCCGACGAATCATCCAAAATACGACTAGTGGGGTTTGATGCACAGCAGCAACGAAAGCTGAACGAGTACCATCAAAATAATGTTCCAGTGCAGCTACTGAATTGCGAGGTGAAGCCTTCTCGACAAGGCGAGGGATACGAGCTGATGTTAAAGAATGGTACCCAGATCAAGCAATCTCCAAAAAAGATGGACATAGCATCACTGATGGTCGATGCTGCAGCAAAAGTCGTAACTCTCGATGAGCTGGATGGTTTGGAGGTGTTTGACAGGGCTACAGTGAACGTAAAGGTGGTGGAGTTGAAGGAGGAGATGCAGGTTGGTGGGAAATCGAAGAGGGATATCATTATCGCTGATGGAAGTGGCACGGCTAGGGTTAGTGTGTGGGAGGGACATGTGAATACAATGGAGGAGAATACCAGTTACTGTCTCAAGGATTTTATGGTCCGAGAATTTCAGAGTACGAAGTACCTGACAATGGCGAAAGAAGGGTCCCGAATCATTGCGATTGATGACATTGGAGGTGTAGTGGAGCAGACGAAAGAAGATGAGGAACTATTGCTCATCCAAAATGTTTCAATTGTCGGCATTCCGTACCTGGACACTTACAAATCGTGTCTTAAGTGCAAGGCTCGCGTGGAACCTCAGACTCCTCCCCTAGGAAAATGCTCCAAAGCCGACTGTATGATGTTACAGAGGTATGACCTCTGTACTGAGCATACATCAGCTAAGCTGATGCTGATGTACGATGACGAAGGAGAGAGAAAGAGCGTGCAGGCCTACGCATATGGAGAGGTGTGCGTCAAATTGCTGGTTGTGGCGATTTATCGGCTGAAGGGCTACTCAAAAGAGGAGATTTCGCATCGATGGCCCTGATGAGAGAGAAATACATCATCAAAGATGTAATCGAGTGAAAATAGTGACTGAGGCTGACTTTTCTGTTATCATTTACGAAACTCATGGCATTATCCATTATCAATAGCTGGCATTGGCTTTAATCATATGTACCCTCCCTCCATTTATCATGACATTCATGTTGATTTGTAATACTGTATATTTTATTTGGTTGATGATTTGAACTTTGTTGGAAGTTAGCTTGAAATGGCGGATAGCTGCAATTGTAAGTAGCAAAGCTGGTATGTAGACTGTCATGTGTATTATACTATAATAGTGCATACTCACCACACCACTCTTCTCAGTGACTGATAGAGAGGAGATTCCTAGGTGTCCTTGCAAAAGGGAATGGTTTAAATCAAATTGAGGTATGTATGCTAAAGTTTATTTGACTTTACTTGAGCCCTCGAAAAATGGTATTTTTTCAAAAACTGGTTTATTTTACATCCAATATTAGACACATTGGCATCTTACTGGTATCTTTAACGCTACCTGAAACACTAGTAGTAAAATTTGCTGTATATGCTATATATATATATGGACAAGCATCCCATAAGGAGAGTAAGCGGGGGTTGTATAAACTGCTATTGCAATCAACTGGGGGGGGCTCTCAAGTGAATGGCAATAGATTTATAGTGTAGCTAACTGCCATACCTTTGTAGTGGTGAGTGACTTCAGGAGTTCAGGTTGGACTTCATTGGACTTGATTAGACTTATAGGTTGACATTGAAATGACTTATCGGTTGACTTTTGAGTTGACTTGGAACACATAGCAAAACTCCGCCTTTGTTCTCACATGTAACTCGATCACATCTGATGTCAATCTGGTTGTCTAGTAACACAGGGGAAGGCTGAGATGCATTTAGCCAGGTTTCACAAAAGCATAGTATGCTCGCACATCTGAGACTGTGGTCAGCTGTAATATCTGGCAATTTGGCTAGTATTGATCTCACATTTAACAATGCAATGGTAATGTGAGATGATGGGTCACATGTAACTTGAGACACTGGTTGCTATACATCAGGCGGTGGCAACATGTGCAAACAAAATCAGGTCCGTTCTTGATATCAGAATGAAATGACATAATAGCTTGTTGCACAGACACATCACTAGCTTTTTTAGTTGCTCTCATGCTTGCTTTGTGGTTTCTGTCTTTTTCTCGTCTATGCACAGTTTGCTCGCTAGTTTCATTTGCTCCCATGCTTGCCATGTGCTCTTTATTTTATACACAGTTTGCTCACTAGTTTCACTTGCTCTCATGCTTGCCATGTGCTCTGTATTCTGCTGTTGTCTATACACAGTTTGCTCACTAGTTTCACTTGCTCTCATGCTTGCCATGTGCTCTGTATTCTGCTGTTGTCTATACACAGTTTGCTCACTAGTTTCACTTGCTCTCATGCTTGCCATGTGCTCTGTATTCTGCTGTTGTCTATACACAGTTTGCTCACTAGTTTCACTTGCTCTCATGCTTGCCATGTGCTCTGTATTCTGCTGTTGTCTATGCACAGTTTGCTCACTAGTTTCACTTGCTCTCATGCTTGCCATGTGCTCTGTATTCTGCTGTTGTCTATACACAGTTTGCTCACTAGTTTCACTTGCTCTCATGCTTGCCATGTGCTCTGTATTCTGCTGTTGTCTATACACAGTTTGCTCACTAGTTTCACTTGCTCTCATGCTTGCCATGTGCTCTGTATTCTGCTGTTGTCTATACACAGTTTGCTCACTAGTTTCACTTGCTCTCATGCTTGCCATGTGCTCTGTATTCTGCTGTTGTCTATCACAGTTTGCTCACTAGTTTCACTTGCTCTCATGCTTGCCATGTGCTCTGTATTCTGCTGTTGTCTATACACAGTTTGCTCACTAGTTTCACTTGCTCTCATGCTTGCCATGTGCTCTGTATTCTGCTGTTGTCTATGCACAGTTTGCTCACTAGTTTCACTTGCTCTCATGCTTGCCATGTGCTCTGTATTCTGCTGTTGTCTATACACAGTTTGCTCACTAGTTTCACTTGCTCTCATGCTTGCCATGTGCTCTGTATTCTGCTGTTGTCTACTCACAGTTTGCTCACTAGTTTCACTTGCTCTCATGCTTGCCATGTGCTCTGTATTCTGCTGTTGTCTATACACAGTTTGCTCACTAGTTTCACTTGCTCTCATGCTTGCCATGTGCTCTGTATTCTGCTGTTGTCTATGCACAGTTTGCTCACTAGTTTCACTTGCTCTCATGCTTGCCATGTGCTCTGTATTCTGCTGTTGTCTATTCACAGTTTGCTCACTAGTTTCACTTGCTCTCATGCTTGCCATGTGCTCTGTATTCTGCTGTTGTCTATACACAGTTTGCTCACTAGTTTCACTGCTCTCATGCTTGCCATGTGCTCTGTATTCTGCTGTTGTCTATGCACAGTTTGCTCACTAGTTTCACTTGCTCTCATGCTTGCCATGTGCTCTGTATTCTGCTGTTGTCTATGCACAGTTTGCTCGCTAGTTTCACACTCTCTCATGCTTGCCATGTGCTCTGTATTCTGCTGTTGTCTATGCACAGTTTGCTCGCTAGTTTCACTTGCTCTTTTACTGGCCTTTTGCAACCTATCTTTAGCCTTAATAGCTGATTTGATACTATCCGACTGTAAGACTCGCATGCGTTTCATGGCTTTGTCTGGCAAATTATGCTCTGCTTTTCTCTTGGCTCGAAAGACATGTTGGCAAGATTTACACACTTTCAGCCTTGGATGTACAATAGTTTGACATTGTGGGCATACCTTACTCGGAGGCATGATAGATAAATTCGCAACTCACGAAACTGGACACCTTTCCTCACCGAACGAGAAGCAAAATGGCCGCTTTCCACCACGTGGTCGCAAGTACAGTGCGCGTGCGCGTTTTCCGTGGAGTAAAAATGGCCCACTATAATTATATAGCCAGCCATACAATGCTGGAAGCGCTCTAGCTCTGCAACGGAGCATTTTCAGAGAAAACCCCACATATTTTCTGACCTTCGTCGCCCGTTGGGTAGATGGTATCGTTTCTGGGACGAACAGACATTCGAGAGGTGAGATGTAGAGTAACAGACACACACACACACACACACAGACAAACCCAACTACAGTACCCTCGCTGCGCATGCGCGCCGAGGGTAATGAAAGAACGACTACTGTAACCCTCGCTGCGCATGCGCGCCGAGGGTTAAATATTAGGCTGCTCTCCTGCAAAGCCAATTATCAGCAAGAGGGATTTTTGTGCCACCTGGACCACACACACCGTTACATCATCTTGTGGTGAGAGAGTGACTATAAAAGAGAGCTTAGCTATCAGTCAGTATCTGCAGTCAGTGGAACAAAATCTGCTGAAATGTGGACTACACTACTTTTTGCAGGTGCAGCTCTTCTTGCAGCAGTAACATCTCCAGCTGCAAGTAACCCAACCTTTCAAGAGACCGGAGATTGCGAGGTGATTAATGTCCACTAATGTAGGTGCTGGCACAGACAGCTTTCATCACCGGGTTATCTCAGATTAATTATTCTGCACATCCCACTCCCGGTAGACTTGTCCTTTTTACTGTGTTCATTTCGACAGGCAACGCACGAGCATCTGTACAAGTACGCTGCCAAGGAGGACTACTTCGGAGATGAATATGCTCAAACCTTTGAGATAACTATCTACTTCAAAGTTTACTGCTTATCTGGTATGAATTTTATAAACTGACAGTGATTTTTACAGACAGTGCACTATCTTTATTTTTGCAGTTGGAACGTATGGAGACAAGCGAGCGAAAGTGTATGAGTTAAATACCACCAAGGCAGAAGTTGGCGGAACTATACTGGACAGGGAGGAAACTGAGGAACAACAAGCACAGAACGATTACAATGTCCTTCTGCAAGGATGGTTCCACTTTGTTCAGACGGAAGATGGATCAATTCCAATCATCCGTCATTCCAGAGAGGAAGATGGAGAGGTTATCAACACGAAAAAGGCAATTGTTTCAGCGTTCCAGGCAAACTTCATGGGAACAGAACAGAAGGAAGAAGCCGATCCCCAGTCACTGCATAGATCTCACTACACGTACGTTTGAAAATACTAGCCCAAACCATATGTGCACGCATGCAAAACTTACGCATTAGCTTGCGTCATTCGCTCATTTTGCGCATTTACCGTGCGGCAAACGGCTAACCCAGATTCAACCACAACATTGCTGGAATTACTTGGCTAGCGATTAGCTACTTGGAGTGGCCTGTTTGCCTGTCTTGCCGAGACCTCGCAGAACTATATAGCAGCGTGCGCTAAGGTCCGCGTACCGAGTGGTAAACGTGAAGGCTAACCAATCCAACAATCCAGGCGATGCAGTACCTCCGTTATTTTCTCCAACTCCTGCAGCGCTGCCCGTAGGGCCGACAAGTTCACGTCACCATCAGTGGATATGTACATTGCGTCACGTCCGCCTATAATATTCAGCGTGAGAATGTCCTGCGGAAAATGTTCCCACATTTTGCAGTTACACCCTATTATTACCCACTATAGGTATGAGGCAAGTGCACAAGATGTGGAAAATGGTGTTCTTCGAATGCATCGCACAGTAAATTCGGAGGATATTGAAGCCTACACCTCTCATATACCTGGTGCAGAGGTAGAATTGAAGAAAAAAGAAGACATTACCTACAAAAAGGGAGTCCTCCTTGGTGCAAGTGGAACAACAACTGTAAAACTCTTTGGAAAGGTATAGTTATTATCATATAATGTGCACGTGTGATAAAACAATGCCACTGCATGAAGAGCCTTAGATTAGTTAGAGCTTCCCCTATAGAGCAGTGGTTCTACTACAGTAGGGTTACATTGAAAATATAAACGTCCCATGAACACTTTCAACATAACGACCTATGCAAATGTCTGCTAGTCTTCCGTAAACGTTAACATAGGCCGTTGAGTCTTCTGTAGAGGACCAGATCATCAACACAGCTGTGAAAATCTTGTAGCTTAGTTGGTAACTTTCAATGGAAAATGTTTATACAGAAGGCAAGCAAAGGATACAGTAGCAGGTAAAAATCAGATCATAAACACAGCTGTGACAATTTTGTAGCTTAGTTGACTAATAGTAACTTTCAATCAAAAATGTTTACAGAAGGCAAGCAAAGGATACAGTAGCAGGTAAAAAAATCAGATGATAAACACAGCTGTGACAATCTTGTAGCTTAGTTGACTAATAGTAACTTTCAATGGAAAATGTTTATACAGAAGGCAAGCAAAGGATACAGTAGCAGGTAAAAAAAATCAGATCATAAACACAGCTATGACAATCTTGTAGCTTAGTTGACTAGTAGTAACTTTCAATGGAAAATGTTTACGGAAGACCAGCAAAGGATACAGTAGCAGGGGAAAAAACTCAGATCATAAACACAGCTGTGACAATTTTGAAAACTGCATCTAGCATGAGCATGGGCATAGTTAGAGTTTCCTCTTTAGAGCAGTGGTTCTACTACAGTAGGGTTACATTGAAAGTGTAAACTTCCCATGAACACTTTCAACATAACGATTTTTGCAAATGTTTGCTAGTCTTCCGTAAACGTTTACATAGGCCGTTGAGTCTTCTGTAGAGGACCAGATCATCAACACAGCTGCGAAAATCTTGTAGCTTAGTTGGTAACTTTCAATGGAAATGTTCCCAATGTTTACAGAAAGCAAGCAAAGGATACAGTAGCATGTAAAAAACTCAGATCATAAACACAGCTGTGACAATTTTGTAGCTTAGTTGGTAACTTTCAATGGAAATGTTTACAGAAAACAAGCAAAGGATACAGTAGCATGTAAAAAAACTCAGATCGTTAACACAGCTGCGAAATCTTGTAGCTTAGTTGGTAACTTTCAATGGAAAACTTTACAGAAAGGATATAGTAGCAGGTAAAAACTCAGATCATAAGCACAGCTGCGAAATCTTGTAGCTTAGTTGGTAACTTTCAATGGAAATGTTTACAGAAAGCAAGCAAAGGATACAGTAGCAGGTAAAATAACTCAGATCATAAACACAGCTGCGAAATCTTGTAGCTTAGTTGGTAACTTTCAATGGAAATGTTTACAGAAAGCAAGCAAAGGATACAGTAGCAGGTAAAAAAACTCAGATCATAAACACAGCTGCGAAATCTTGTAGCTTAGTTGGTAACTTTCAATGGAAAAGTTTACAGAAAGCAAGCAAAGGATACAGTAGCAGGTAAAATAACTCAGATCGTTA